AGTAGAAGCACCTATATGTAGTGGTGGTGTTGACGTGCGCCGGCAGTGATGGATCACGGGGCGCGGGGTTGGGCACGCAGTGTGGGCGTGGGATGGACGCGCGCGCCGGTGGTGAGGCGCGCTCACACAAGCTGGGAAAAGAGGATCGTAGCGAGTGTGCAGTGATTGGTCAGATAAGTGGGTGCTCTCAGCGACGTCCGCAGGAGGGGTATAAAGGGGGACGCGCGAGAGCACTCGTGGTCAGTGTTAACCAGTTGAAGACCGAAGACGGGGTGGAGGAGGTAGGGGCCCTGTGTGGCTCGGAGCCGAGACTGGGGGGACCGTAGTCCGACGCCCGTGTGGGTCGGGACGGTGGTACCCAGAGCCGAGACGGACACCCCAGCCGGGTGTGTTCCGGAAGGCTACGGGGGCGTAAGAGCCCGTGTCAGTGTAGCTGAGTGGGTGTTAGTCACCCGAGTAGCTAAGTGGGTGTTAGTCACCCGTGTAGCTGAGTGGGTGTTAGTCACCCGAGTAGCCGAGTGGGTGTTAGTCACCCGAGTAGCTAAGTGGGTGTTAGTCACCCGTGGAGCTGAGTGGGTGTTAGTCACCCGAGTAGCTGAGTGAGTGTTAGTCACCCGTGTAACAGTTTGGTGTTAATAAAAAGAGTGTGCTACCCGTGAAGTCGTCTCCCGCCAAGTTACTACTTTACATAAGTAATAAAATAATAAAAATAATATTTTATTATTTTTATAAAACATAATATTTTATTATGTTTTATTTTTATAATTTCCCTTCTACGTGACTTTACCGAAAGAACCAAGAATAAAAAAGGTAGTACATGTTGTTTATGCCATTTATTGTGAAAATTCCGTCACAGTTCCTATGATTGCTTTTTCATTGCTTTCATAGCTGTATTTTGGTGATTTCGACAAGTGTATTTGGTTTAGCCATGTTTGTTTGTTGTAGTACAGAGTTAGACTGATGGCCTAAATCTAAGTTGTCTTGTGGTTGTTGTTGTTGTTTGACTTGCATCCCACTGGGATGTTTGCACACAGCGTTGGTGTACGGTGTTTTTTCTGCATTATTTTGCTGTCTTTTCTTGGATTTTCTATTTGCACTCAGTCACATATTCACTTTAAGATGTTTTTTTGTTCATGTTTTTATTTTTTGTTTGTTGCGGTTGCACCCGATTCAAGAGCCGAATGGCTCACAAGGCTATACCTAATACATGAACTTAAACTTGAACCCACGCCCGGCCGCCTTTGTCTCCCCAGTGGCGATGTTTACTACACACCGCGCTAGGTTACTCATTTGAGTCTGAGTCGACCTTGGGGAGGCCCAGGACCCGGGTTCGTAGCGCTAACCGCTGCACCACCGCTCCCCACCCGAGTCTCATCTCACACACACACAGACCTGCCGGACTGTCAGACAAAATCCCTCAAAGGGACCGTCCATAAATGACGTCACGCGATTTTGAACTAAAACATGCTTCAAATCGCTTTAAAGTATTGTCATTGTAGTGCGTATTCAATGTGGCGCTGCGATCTGATGTTGTAGGAGAAAACATTTATTAAAAAGTCTATTTAATTAAGTAGAACGTGTTGTCTGAATTGATTTAAAGTTTTGCATTTTGATGTGACGTCACATTTCTCAACCCCCCCTCCCCTCTAGGTGCGTGACGTCATTTATGGACGGCCCCAAAGTCTGCTACGTACGGTACCAAAGAAATTCAACATACGACATCACATCGCTGTCAACTCCTTATCAGTGTCCTGCCTTATGACAAAGTGAGACCTCATTGGTCACCCCGTGCCTCTTATAAATCTCAACGTTCATCCTATACACTACACTATACACTACACTATACACTACACTATACACTACACTATACACTACACTATACACTATATACTACACTATACACTACACTATACACTACACTATACACTACACTATACACTACACTATACACTATACACTACACTATACACTACACTATACACTACACTATACACTACACTATACACTATATACTACACTATACACTATACTACACACTATACTACACACTACACTATACACTACACTATACACTACACTATACACTACACTATATACTACACTACTATACACTACACCATACACTACACTATTATACACTACACTACTATACACTACACTACACACTACACTATACACTACACTACACACTACACTATACACTACACTATACACTACACTATATACTACACTACTATACACTACTATACACTACACCATACACTACACTACCATACACTACACTACTATACACTACACTACACACTACACTATACACTACACTACACACTACACTACACACTACACTACTATACACTACACTACTATACACTACACTATACACTACACTATACACTACACTATACACTACTATATACTACACTATACACTACACTATACACTACACTATACACTACTATACACTACACGATACACTAAACTATACACTACACCATACACTACACTACACCATACACTACTATACACTACACTATACACTACTATACACTACACTATACACTACACTACTATACACTACTATACACTACACTATACACTACACTATACACTACACTACTATACACTACACTATACACTACTATACACTACACTATACACTACACTATACACTACACTATATACCACTATACACTACACTATACACTACACTATACACTACACTATACACTACTGTACAATACTTTACACTACACTATACACTACATAATACACTACACCATACACTACACTATACACTACTATACACTACACCATACACTACACTATACACTACTATACACTACACCATACACTACACTATACACTACTATACACTACACCATACACTACACTATACACTACACTATACACTACACTATACACTACACTATACACTACTATACACTACACTATACACTACTATACACTACTATACACTACACTATACACTACACTACTATACACTACACTATACACTACACTACTATACACTACACTATACACTACACTATACACTACTATACACTACACTATACACTACATAATACACTACTATACACTACACTATACACTACTATACACTACTACACACTACACTATACACTACTATACACTACACTATACACTACTATACACTACACTATACAATACACTATACACTACACTATACACTAGTACACACTATACACTACACTAGACACTACACTATACACTACACTATACACTATTACACTACACTATACACTACACTATACACTACACTATACACTACACTACACACTACACTACACACTACACTATACACTACTACACACTACACGATACACCACTATACACTACACTATACACTACACTATACACTACACACTACACTACATACTACACTATACACTACACTATACACTACACTATACACTACACTATACACTACACGATACACTACACTATACACTACACGATACACTACACTATACACGATACACTACACTATACACTACACTATACACTACACTACTATACAGTACACTATACACTACACTACTATACACTACACTATACACTACACTATACACTACACTATACACTACACTACCATACACTACACTATACACTACACTATACACTACACTACTATACACTACACTATACACTACACTACACACTATATACTACACTATACACTACACTATACACTACACTATACACTACATACCTGTCAACCCCTTATGACAGTGGGAATTTAAACTGCGTCTTATAATCCGGCACAAACCACCCCCCGCTACGTCATTGTGTCACGTGACCCGACCCCCTCCCACCCTCCCCATAGCCACCGCAATGTCGGCGTCACGTGACCGACCAAATTCCCCCCCTCCCGCCATTCTGACGTAGCCCCCCCCCCACTTGTCACGTGATCCTCCCACCAAAACTCCCCCCCCCACCACCGCCACTTGTCACGTGACCCCCCAAACTCCCCCCACTAAGTCACGTGACCCCCCCCCCCCAAACTTCCCCCCCCACCGCGAACTCTCCCCCTCCACTTGTCACGTGACCCCCCCCAGAAAACTCCCCCCCCACCCCCTCCACTTGTCACGTGACCCCCCCCAGAAAAACTCCCCCCCCCACCCCCTCCACTTGTCACGTGACCCCCCCCAGAAAACTCCCCCCCACCGCGAACTCTCCACCTCCACTTGTCACGTGACACCCCAAACTCCCCCACCCCCTCCACTTGTCACGTGACACCCCCAGAAAACTCCCCCCCACCGCGAACTCACCCCCTCTACTTGTCACGTGACACCCCAAACTCCCCCCCACCCCCTCCACTTGTCACGTGACACCCCAAACTCCCCCCCCCCCCTCCCACCGCGAACACCCCCCCTCCACTTGTCACGTGACCCCCCCCCCCAGAAAACTTCCCCCCCCCCTCCCACCGCGAACACCCCCCCCCACCCCCCTCCTCCTCCTCCCCCCTCACACACGCGCACGTGCGCGTGTCATGGGTGGGCGGGGTCAACTCCCGGAAGTGGATTTTCCCGCGCTCGGCGCGAGACGTCCCTCTCACTTCCGGTTGCTGCACCGTCCGCGCAGCGCGTGCGGCCACCCCCCCTTCCCTCCCACCCACCCACAACATCCCCCGAGCCCCTCCCCCCTCTTAAACCACGCCCACTTTGACCCACAGACAACATCCCCCGAGCCCCTCCCCCCTCTTAAACCACGCCCACTTTGACCCCCCCACCCCTCCCACCCACCCACAACATCCCCCGAGCCCCTCCCCCCTCTTAAACCACGCCCACTTTGACCCCCCCACCCCTCCCACCCACAACATCCCCCGAGCCCCTCCCCCCTCTTAAGCCACGCCCACTTTGACCTCCCCCACCCATCCACAACATCCCCCGAGCCCCTCCCCCCTCTTAAACCACGCCCACTTTGACCCCCCCCATCTCTCACCACCCGTTCCCGTCTTTCCAGTGACTTCCAACCCCAGTTGCTCGCAAGCTCTCCTCGTCATCCTCCTCCTTATAGAGGACCCAAACTCTGCCGTCGGACACCGACGTCAGACGAACTTTCGCGTGGCCTGTTCGCACCCCCCCCCCCTTCCGACGGGGGAAGGTGGATTGCGCGCGAAAATTGAGGGCCGAGTGTGACCTGAGGGGAAAAATTAACAATTATTAAAAAATTAGAAATAAAACCGCGCGCATCGGGCAAAGACGAGAAGGGGACGTTTTTAAAGAAGGGGGAAAAAGCAGCGATACGATTAAAGAGAATAGCAAAAAATTACAAGCGACAACTCGCAATTCAACTACACGCAACAACAACAACCCGCTGTGTTTGGTGGTGGTTGTTGGTGGTGGTGGTGGCGCTGATGATGTCCATCAAGGAAGGTGGTGGCCACCACAGTTCAACCACTTCGCTCGTCAGGTAAACGACGACGGGGGCCGACGTTTCGGGGATGGTTCAACCGCAGGAGGAGAGGGGGAGTCGGTCTCGCTAGGCCGCAACGCGTTTCGTCGTTAAAAAAAAAGTTAACAAATTAAAACAAAAACGTTCTACATCGGTGTAGTACGAGTTGGATAACATTGTTTTACCTCATAAATCATTGCTTCGTCACCCCCAAACTCGTTAAAAATCAATGGAAATACGTCAACCGGACAGACGTTTCGGGCAACTGGCCTCCCCGTTGAAGGGGCCGCGCGTTTTGTCGAGTTGTGCGGTGTTTTTGTTGTTTTTACACCTCAACGAAATCCTGTCGTCGACAATATCCATTACCTTGGTTCTTTCGGTAAAGTCACGTAAAAGGGAAATAATAAAAGAATAAAAATAAAATTCTCACGACGTTTCGGTCGCAACGCAAGCAGCCGTTCTCAGGTGGAAGACCTGAAACGTCGCCGATTACCACCACCACCACATCGTATATATATACACACACACACTACTAATAATAATAACGTGTCACTTGTATGTTTAAAGGCTAAGCAAGCGTTGAATCATTGGACTGGTGCAGTAGCAGCAGTATCAGAACACGTTCTGCGCATATCGAGTTGCTTTAAAGTTCGCTTTTAAGCAAAGTTTGTTTTAAAGTTAACGTGTGCTCCAGATGAACGGTGGATTAATCGCCTTTGCTGTGTTGCCTTTAAAGATGATGATTTTGAAGTTACGAGTCACGCTTTTGCTAAGTGATGTTGATTTTACGCAAAAAAAAACATTTTAAAAAGTCATCCCGAATAAGCGGAAAGAGTGTTAGAACGTAATCAACGTTTTATTCTTTCGGTAAAGTCACGTAGAAGGGAAATAATAAAATAATATAAATATAAACACAAGCAATCGTCATCAGGTGTGAAATCCACAGCAAAGAAAGTTTGATAAAAAAAACAAGACTATGAATCCCTGCAGTCACGAAAGCTTTAAATCAAAATATAATCAACGTTGTTGGGTTTAGATCACGTTATTTATAAATGTGTCGTAACCCTCCACCACCCGACACGGCCAATCAGCAAAACAAAAGTGTCACGTTGACAAAAGACAAAATAGTTCACTGCTTTAGCCCACCGGTAGTTGTTGAAGCGTTAATTACGAATAATATTTGTCGCAAAAGCCGACAAAAGTGTTAAAACAATTGTTTTATCTCAGATTCTAGGGATTTTTAAAATGTTTTTGGGACTAAACTAACAAGTGTAAAAACAACCCCCCATCGAAAACACAACTCTCGTTACGATGTATGAGACTTCTCTAACATATAAAAACTACAGTTATTACCCCATATTGGCATCTTATTTATTGGCTTTGCAGACCCAATATTATCCAGAAGAATTTGTCCCAAGTGCAATTCTGAACCGGCTTTGACAGTGAGTCTCATCAGCAAGAGTGAGTCTTGTTAATCAAAGCTTGTGCGTGTTAAACTATTCTAAAGCTATTTGTAAACATTAGTGCGGAACAGCTGATGTCAAGAAAACTCTGGACTGGTTTTGACATCCTGGGTCTCATCAGCAAGATTCAGGCTTGTTGATTAAAAGCTACTGGGAAACATTCGGTGCGGAACAGCCGATAGAAAGAAAACTCTGGACTGGTTTTGACATCATGGGTCTCATCAGCAAGATTCTGGCTTGTTCATTAAAAGCTACTGGTAAATATTCGGTGCGGAACAGCCAATAGCAAGAGAACTCTGGATTAGTTTTGACATCATGGGCCTCATCAGCAAGAGTCTAGTTTGTTCATTAAAGCTTGTGCGTGTTAAACTATTCTAAAGCTATTTGTAAACAGTGCGGAACAGCCGATGTCAAGAAAACTCTGGACTGGTTTTGACATCCTGGGTCTCATCAGCAAGAGTCTAGTTTGTTAATCAAAGCTTGTGCGTGTTAAACTAATCTAAAGCTATTTGTTAACAGTGCGGAACAGCCGATAGCAAGCAAACTCTGGACTGGTTTTGACATCCTGGGCCTCATCAGCAAGAGTCTGGCTTGTTAATCAAAGCTTGTGCGTGTTAAACTAATCTAAAGCTATTGGTAAACATTAGTACGGAACAGTCGATGTCAAGAAAACTCTGGATTAGTTTTGACATCCTGAGTCTCATCAGCAAGATTCTGGCTTGTTCATTAAAAGCTACTGGGAAACATTCTGTGCGGGACAGCCGATGTCAAGAAAACTCTTGACTGGTTTTGACATCCTGGGTCTCATCAGCAAGAGTCTAGTTTGTTCATTAAAGCTTGTACGTGTTAAACTAATCTAAAGCTATTTGTAAACATTAGTGCGGAACAGCCGATAGCAAGAAAACTCTGGACTGGTTTTGACATCCTGGGTCTCATCAGCAAGAGTCTGGCTTGTTCATTAAAGCTTGTGCGTGTTAAACTATTCTAAAGCTATTGGTAAACAGTGCGGAACAGCCGATAGCAAGAGAACTCTGGATTAGTTTTGACATCCTGGGTCTCATCAGCAAGATTCAGGCTTGTTCATTAAAAGCTACTGGAAAACATTCTGTGTGGGACAGCCAATAGAAACAAAACTCTGGACTGGTTTTGACATCCTGGGTCTCATCAGCAAGAGTATGTCTTGTTCATTAAAAGCTACTGGAAAACATTCGGTGCGGGACAGCCGATAGAAACAAAACTCTGGACTGGTTTTGACATCCTGGGTCTCATCAGCAAGAGTATGTCTTGTTAATCAAAGCTTGAACGTGTTAAGCTAATCTGAAGCTATGTGTAAACATTAGTGCGGAACAGCTGATAGCAAGAGACTCTGGACTGGTTTTGACATCATGGGCCTCATCAGCAAGAGTCTGTCTTGTTCATTAAAGCTTGTGCGTGTTAAACTAATCTAAAGCTATTGATAAACATTAGTGTGGACAGTCGATGTCAAGAAAACTCTGGATTCGTTTTTACATCCTGAGTCTCATCATCAAGATTCTGGCTTGTTCATTAAAAGCTACTGGGAAGCATTCGGTGTGGGACAGCCGATAGAAAGAAAACTCTGGACTGGTTTTGACATCATGGGCCTCATCAGCAAGAGTCTAGTTTGTTCATTAAAGCTTGTGTGTGTTAAACTATTCTAAAGCTATTGGTAAACAGTGTGGAACAGCCGATAGCAAGAGAACTCTGGATTAGTTTTGACATCCTGGGTCTCATCAGCAAGATTCAGGCTTGTTCATTAAAAGCTACTGGGAAACATTCTGTGTGGAACAGCCGATAGCAAGAAAACTCTGGACTGGTTTTGACATCCTGGGTCTCATCAGCAAGAGTCTGGCTTGTTCATTAAAGCTTGTGCGTGTTAAACTATTCTAAAGCTATTGATAAACATTAGTGTGGACAGCCGATAGAAAGAAAACTCTGGATTCGTTTTTACATCCTGAGTCTCATCAGCAAGAGTCTAGTTTGTTCATTAAAGCTTGTGCGTGTTAAACTAATCTAAAGCTATTTGTGAGCAGTGCAGAACAGCCGATAGCAAGCAACTCTGGATTAGTTTTGACATCCTGGGTCTCATCAGCAAGAGTCAGTCTTGTTCATTAAAAGCTACTGGGAAACATTCTGTGTGGGACAGCCGATAGAAAGAAAACTCTGGACTGGTTTTGACATCCTGGGTCTCATCAGCAAGAGTCTGGCTTGTTCATTAAAGCTTGTGCATGTTAAACTAATCTAAAGTTATTGGTAAACATTAGTGCGGAACAGCCGCTAGAAAGAAAACTCTGGATTAGTTTTGACATCCTGGGCCTCATCAGCAAGAGTCTGGCTTGTTAATTAAAGCTTGTACGTGTTAAACTATTCTAAAGCTATGTGTAAACATTAGTGCGGAACAGCTGATGTCAAGCGAACTCTGGACTGGTTTTGACATCCTGGGTCTCATCAGCAAGAGTCTAGTTTGTTCATTAAAGCTTGTACGTGTTAAACTAATCTAAAGCTATTTGTAAACATTAGTGCGGAACAGCCGATAGCAAGAGAACTCTGGATTAGTTTTGACATCCTGGGTCTCATCAGAAAGATTCTGGCTTGTTCATTAAAAGCTATTTGTAAACATTAGTGCGGAACAGCCGATAGCAAGAAAACTCTGGACTGGTTTTGACATCATGGGCCTCATCGGCAAGAGCCAGGTTTTTTGTCGGATGTTATTGGCAAAAAGCACTCCCATCTAAAATTCTAACATTATAGCACCCCGGTCAACGCAAGAAGCATTATTGTACGACTGTTTTTTAGCAACACGGTATTTCCCCGCTATTCACGAAATAGCGTGCATCCCGTGCTAATCTAACGCTTATTCCGGATGTCCGATGGCATCGTTCGCCACTCTCTTTGCCAGCATTCTTCCAGACCTGGTCTGAGTTTCTCGGATATACGCATGAATTAAGATGTGTTTTTTTATCCTTATTGGCTTCTCCGACGATTATCAATCGATAGATCTTGTCATCGGTGTGTGCGCCAGAGGTCGCAAACGGGTTTTGATTCCTTACCCGTACCCGTACCCGGCCGCACCAGGGTCGAAAACGGGTACCCGTACCCTACCCGATACCCGGCTACCCGTACCCGGCCGGGTATGAAGCCATGGTGCAGGCACGGGTGGGTTGATTCTAGGAACTTGAATTGTGAGAAGAGACAAGACGTTGGGAAATGAGTGACAAACGGTGACTCACCAGTGACTCACGGCCTACCCGTACCCGTACCCGGCCGCACCAGGGTCGCAAACGGCTACCCGTACCCGGCCGGGTACGGTACGGGTATCGGGTAGGGTACGGGTATCGGGTACCCGGTTGCGACCTCTGGTGTGCGCCTATACAATCATCTCGACCCTGACGCCTGCTGTATATTTGGAGTTTGCGTGTCTCTCTTTATTTGGGTCCTCCATTTTTTCCCCTCTACGTTTAGTATCAACATCACGCGTTTAGAGTTATTAAAAAAAAAATGGCTTGCTATCAATTCCCACGCGAAAAAGCCACTTAGTTGAGCTATCATTTGCGCCCAGGGCACTTCTGAAAAAGAAGCTGATAGCTCAGTTGGCTTTACCTGGTAAAATAACAAGTGTGTGATGCGTCTATGGGTATCTGTGTAATGAGTCTATGGGTCTGTGTCGGGAGTCTATGGGTCTCTGTGTGATGAGTCTATGGGTCTGTGTCGGGATTCTATGGGTCTCTGTGTGATGAGTCTATGGGTCTGTGTCGGGAGTCTATGGGTCTCTGTGTGATGAGTCTATGGGTCTGTGTCGGGATTCTATGGGTCTCTGTGTGATGAGTCTATGGGTCTGTGTCGGGAGTCTATGGGTCTCTGTGTGATGAGTCTGTGTGTCTGTCTATGGATCTCTGTGTGATGAGTTTATGGGTCTCTGTGTGATGGGTCTGGATCTCTGTGTGATGAGTCTATGAATCTCTGTGTGATGAGTCTATGGGTCTCTGTGTGATGAGTCTGGATCTCTGTGTGATAAGTCTATGGGTCTCTGTGTGATGAGTTTATGGGTCTCTGTGTGATGAGTCTGTGGGTTTCTGTGTGATGAGTCTATGGGTCTCTGTGATGAGTCTGGATCTCTGTGTGATGAGTCTATGGGTCTCTGTGTGATGCGTCTATGGGTCTCTGTGTGATGAGTTTATGGGTCTCTGTGTGATGAGTCTGTGGGTTTCTGTGTGATGAGTCTATGGGTCTCTGTGTGATGAGTCTGGATCTCTGTGTGATGAGTCTATGGGTCTCTGTGTGATGCGTCTATGGGTATTTGTGTGATGGGTCTATAGGTTTCTGTGTGATGAGTCTGGATCTCTGTGTGATGAGTTTATGGGTCTCTGTGTGATGAGTCTATGGGTCTGTGTGTGATGCGTCTGTGGGTTTCTGTGTGATGAGTATATGGGTCTCTGGTTGATGCGTCTTTGAGTATCTGTGTGATGGGTCTATAAGTTTCTGTGTGATGAGTATGGGTCTCTGTGTGATGAGTCTGGATCTTTACACTCCTATACTTTTACACGCCTATCGTGTTTTAGCATCGTTTGTTGTAACACTCTGACAACCACACGTGTGCTGCTACTGGACCATCTGTTGAAAAAAGAGCTTGAAAACCCATCGGATTCCTCCTCAAGTACAAATGAAGATCGCGATGATTCTGAAATGCACGGTTGTTTGTTTTCGCTGTGTGGGTGCTGAAAGCAGCAGCAGCGGCAGCAACAGCGCCAGCAGCAGCGATTCCGAAGAGGATGGGTGGCGGAGGAAGCTGGAGAAGGTTTGTGTGGCTGTGGGTGCCGCTGATGACACATGCAAGATGGCCTGGAGGCTCTGGGAATTGACGTGCAAGCCCGAGTCTGTGCAGGTGAGATGTTTGTTTTAATGTTTTAATTAAAGTGTTTATATCTGTACGTAGGAGTCTGTGGGTCTCTGTGTGATGAGTCTGTGGGTCTCTGTGTGATGAGTCTGTGGGTCTCTGTGTGGTGAGTCTGTGGGTCTCTGTGTGATGATTCTATGGGTCTCTGTGTAATGAGCCTGTGGGTCTCTGTGTGATCAATCTGTGGGTCTCTGCGTGATGAGTCTATGGGTCTGTGTGATGCGTCTATGGGTCTCTGCGTGATGAGTCTGTTGGTCTCTGCGTGATGAGTCTGTGGGTCTCTGTGTGATGAGTCTGTGGGTCTCTGTGTGATGAGTCTGTGGGTCTCTGTGTGATGAGTCTGTGGGTCTCTGCGTGATGAGTCTGTTGGTCTCTGCGTGATGAGTCTGTGGGTCTCTGTGTGATGAGTCTGTGAGTCTCTGTGTGATGAGTCTATGGGTCTCTGTGTGATGAGTCTGTGGGTCTCTGCGTGATGAGTCTGTGGATCTCTGTGTGATGAGTCTGTGGGTCTCTGTGTGATGAGTCTGTGGGTCTCTGTGTGATGAGTCTGTGGGTCTCTGCGTGATGAGTCTGTTGGTCTCTGCGTGATGAGTCTGTGGGTCTCTGTGTGATGAGTCTGTGAGTCTCTGTGTGATGAGTCTATGGGTCTCTGTGTGATGAGTCTGTGGGTCTCTGCGTGATGAGTCTGTGGATCTCTGTGTGATGAGTCTGTGGGTCTCTGCGTGATGAGTCTATGGGTCTGTGTGATGCGTCTATGGGTTTCTGCATGATGAGTCTATGGGTCTCTGTGTGATGAGTCTATGGGTCTCTGTGTGATGAGTCTATGGGTCTCTGTGTGATGAGTCTATGGGTCTTTGTGTGATGAGTCTATGGGTCTCTGTGTGATGAGTCTATGGGTCTCTGTGTGATGAGTCTATGGGTCTCTGCGTGATGAGTCTGTGGGTCTCTGCGTGATGAGTCTGTGGGTCTCTGTGTGATCAGTCTGTGGGTCTTTGCGTGATGAGTCTGTGGGTCTCTGCGTGATGAGTCTGTGGGTTTCTGCGTGTTCAGTCTGTGGGTCTCTGTGTGTGATGAGTCTATCGGTCTCTGTGTGATGAGTCTGTGGGTCTCTGTGTGATGATTTTGTGGGTCTCTGTGTGATGAGTCTATGGGTCTCTGCGTGATGAGTCTGTGGGTCTCTGTGTGATCAGTCTGTGGGTCTTTGCGTGATGAGTCTGTGGGTCTCTGCTTGATGAGTCTGTGGGTCTCTGCGTGATGAGTCTGTGGGTCTCTGCGTGATGAGTCTATCGGTCTCTGTGTGATGAGTCTATGGGTCTCTGTGTGATGAATCTGTGGGTCTCTGCGTGATGAGTCTATCGGTCTCTGTGTGATGAGTCTATGGGTCTCTGTGTGATGAGTCTGTGGGTCTCTGCGTGATGAGTCTATCGGTCTCTGTGTGATGAGTCTATCGGTCTCTGTGTGATGAGTCTGTGGGTCTCTGTGTGATGATTTTGTGGGTCTCTGTGTGATGAGTCTATGGGTCTCTGCGTGATGAGTCTGTGGGTCTCTGTGTGATCAGTCTGTGGGTCTTTGCGTGATGAGTCTGTGGGTCTCTGCTTGATGAGTCTGTGGGTCTCTGCGTGATGAGTCTGTGGGTCTCTGCGTGATGAGTCTATCGGTCTCTGTGTGATGAGTCTGTGGGTCTCTGTGTGATGAATCTGTGGGTCTCTGTGTGATCAGTCTGTGGGTCTCTGCGTGATGAGTCTATGCGTCTGTGTGATGCGTCTATGGGTTTCTGCATGATGAGTCTATGGGTCTGTGTCGGGAGTTTATGGGTCTCTGTGTGATGAGTCTAAGGGTCTCTATGTGATGAGTCTATGGGTCTCTGTGTGATGAGTTTATGGGTCTCTGTGTGAGGAGTCTATGGGTCTCTGTGTGATGAGTCTATGGGTCTCTGTGTGATGAGTATATGGGTATCTGTGTGATGAGTCTATGGGTCTCTGTGTGATGAGTTTATGGGTCTTTGTGTGATGAGTCTATCTGTCTCTGTGTGATGAGTCTATGGGTCTCTGTGTGATGCGTCTATGGGTATCTGTGTGATGCGTCTATGGGTATCTGTGTGATGAGTCTGTGGATTTCTGTGTGATGAATCTGTGAGTCTCTGTGTGATGAGTCTATGGGTCTCTGTGTGATGAATCTATGGGTCTCTGTGTGATGCGTCTATGGGTCTCTGTGTGATGAGTCTGTGGATTTCTGTGTGATGAGTCTATGGGTCTGTGTGATGCGTCTATGGGTTTCTGAATGATGAGTCTATGGGTCTGTGTCAGGAGTCTATGGGTCTCTTTGTGATGAGTCTGGATCTCTGTGTGATGAGTCTATGGGTCTGTGTGATGAGTCTATGGGTCTCTGCGTGATGAGTCTATGGGTCTCTGTGTGATGAGTCTATGGGTCTCTGTGTGATGAGTCTATGGGTCTGTGTGATGAGTCTATGGGTCTGTGTGATGAGTCTATGGGTCTCTGCGTGATGAGTCTATGGGTCTCTGCATGATGAGTCTATGGGTCTCTGTGTGATGAGTCTATGGGTCTCTGTGCGATGAGTCTATGGGTTTCTGTGTGATGAGTCTATGGGTCTTTGTGTGATAAGTCTGTGGTTTTCTGTGTGATGAGTCTATGGGTCTCTGTGTGATGAGTCTGTGGGTCTCTGTGCGATGAGTCTATGGGTATCTGTGTGATGAGTCTATGGGTCTTTGTGTGATGAGTCTGTGGGTGTCTGTGTGATGAGTCTATGGGTCTCTGTGTGATGAGTCTATGGGTCTCTGTGTGATGAGTCTATGGGTCTCTGTGTGATGAGTCTATGGGTCTCTGTGTGATGAGTCTATGGGTATCTGTGTGATGAGTCTGTGGGTGTCTGTGTGATGAGTCTATGGGTCTCTGTGTGATGAGTCTATGGGTATCTGTGTGATGAGTCTGTGGGTATCTGTGTGATGAGTCTGTGGGTGTCTGTGTGGTGAGTCTATGGGTCTCTGTGTGATGAGTCTATGGGTCTCTGTGTGATGAGTATATGGGTCTGTGTGATGAGTCTATGGGTCTCTGTGTGATGAGTCTGTGGGTCTCTGTGTGATCAGTCTGTGGGTCTCTGCGTGATGAGTCTATGGGTCTGTGTGATGCGTCTATGGGTTTCTGCATGATGAGTCTATGGGTCTCTGTGTGATGAGTCTATGGGTCTCTGTGTGATGAGTCTATGGGTCTCTGTGTGATGAGTCTATGGGTCTTTGTGTGATGAGTCTATGGGTCTCTGTGTGATGAGTCTATGGGTCTCTGTGTGATGAGTCTATGGGTCTCTGCGTGATGAGTCTGTGGGTCTCTGCGTGATGAGTCTGTGGGTCTCTGTGTGATGAGTCTGTGGGTTTCTGTGTGTTCAGTCTGTGGGTCTCTGTGTGATGAGTCTATCGGTCTCTGTGTGATGAGTCTGTGGGTCTCTGTGTGATGATTTTGTGGGTCTCTGTGTGATGAGTCTATGGGTCTCTGCGTGATGAGTCTGTGGGTCTCTGTGTGATCAGTCTGTGGGTCTTTGCGTGATGAGTCTGTGGGTCTCTGCTTGATGAGTCTGTGGGTCTCTGCGTGATGAGTCTGTGGGTCTCTGCGTGATGAGTCTATCGGTCTCTGTGTGATGAGTCTATGGGTCTCTGTGTGATGAGTCTGTGGGTCTCTGTGTGATCAGTCTGTGGGTCTCTGCGTGATGAGTCTATGCGTCTGTGTGATGCGTCTATGGGTTTCTGCATGATGAGTCTATGGGTCTGTGTCGGGAGTTTATGGGTCTCTGTGTGATGAGTCTAAGGGTCTCTATGTGATGAGTCTATGGGTCTCTGTGTGATGAGTTTATGGGTCTCTGTGTGAGGAGTCTATGGGTCTCTGTGTGATGAGTCTATGGGTCTCTGTGTGATGAGTCTATGGGTATCTGTGTGATGAGTCTATGGGTCTCTGTGTGATGAGTTTATGGGTCTTTGTGTGATGAGTCTATCTGTCTCTGTGTGATGAGTCTATGGGTCTCTGTGTGATGCGTCTATGGGTATCTGTGTGATGCGTCTATGGGTATCTGTGTGATGAGTCTGTGGATTTCTGTGTGATGAATCTGTGAGTCTCTGTGTGATGAGTCTATGGGTCTCTGTGTGATGAATCTATGGGTCTCTGTGTGATGCGTCTATGGGTCTCTGTGTGATGAGTCTGTGGATTTCTGTGTGATGAGTCTATGGGTCTGTGTGATGCGTCTATGGGTTTCTGAATGATGAGTCTATGGGTCTGTGTCAGGAGTCTATGGGTCTCTTTGTGATGAGTCTGGATCTCTGTGTGATGAGTCTATGGGTCTGTGTGCTGAGTCTATGGGTCTCTGCGTGATGAGTCTATGGGTCTCTGTGTGATGAGTCTATGGGTCTCTGTGTGATGAGTCTATGGGTCTGTGTGATTGAGTCTATGGGTCTGTGTGATGAGTCTATGGGTCTCTGCGTGATGAGTCTATGGGTCTCTGCATGATGAGTCTATGGGTCTCTGTGTGATGAGTCTATGGGTCTCTGTGCGATGAGTCTATGGGTTTCTGTGTGATGAGTCTATGGGTCTTTGTGTGATAAGTCTGTGGTTTTCTGTGTGATGAGTCTATGGGTCTCTGTGTGATGAGTCTGTGGGTCTCTGTGCGATGAGTCTATGGGTATCTGTGTGATGAGTCTATGGGTCTTTGTGTGATGAGTCTGTGGGTGTCTGTGTGATGAGTCTATGGGTATCTGTGTGATGAGTCTGTGGGTGTCTGTGTGATGAGTCTATGGGTCTCTGTGTGATGAGTCTATGGGTATCTGTGTGATGAGTCTGTGGGTATCTGTGTGATGAGTCTGTGGGTGTCTGTGTGGTGAGTCTATGGGTCTCTGTGTGATGAGTCTATGGGTCTCTGTGTGATGAGTATATGGGTCTGTGTGATGAGTCTATGGGTCTCTGTGTGATGAGTCTGTGGGTCTCTGTGCGATGAGTCTGTGGGTATCTGTGTGATGAGTCTGTGGGTATCTGTGTGATGAGTCTGTGGGTATCAATGTACGTATATTGAACTTCTTTCACGCCATACGTAGCCGTCCGTGGCTAATGGGAGGTGCGGACGCGGTAAGGACAACAAACTAAACACAACACCAAGAAGCAGTTCTAATGAAACGAGTTCGTCAATGTAGATGATGACGATGATTTAAAAGTGCAGCAGCATCGCTCCCAGCGGCTTCCTAATATTGGAAGGCAGAGCGTTCAAGACGGCCGCAGAAGCGCATCTGAAAGCACCGAGCGGCGATGCGGTGACCACCGTTTTTGTTGGACGGCCGGCAGCCAAAAGCCGCCGCCGCTGCTGCTGCGTTGATGACCGGGTGTCGCGTGACGATGGTTTACGCTGCTTGACAAGATGGGCGAGGTCTTGCGGTGGTTCATTTGTGGAGCGCTTTGTACGTGACAAGTCTGCATGGGTAGGGGTGGGATGTTTGCGTCTTTTTAAATCCTTTATATTATGTTCACTTGTTTGCTTGCTTACGACCGTGCAAATCTTTCGGTCGTTTTTTAACCCACTTCCCGTGATCCAATCGAGCTGACATTTTGCACGCAGACTCGTTGTGTGTGACAATTTATTTTCGTGAAAAAAAATTTCCAAAATTTTACACTTTTTAGGAAAAAATAAATTATATTTAATTACCAATTGCTTAATGGTGGCAGCCATTCATCTGACCCATAGGTGGCAGCCATCTCAAGCCAGAGGACGAGAGGACTCTAGCCGCCACGCATATAAAGGATTTATAGTGAAAAAATTTGTTTTTACGGGTTAATTTTTTCAAATATTTTTTTTGTTTTGTCGCAGAGCTGTGCTTCCACAATGGCCGTGTGTCTCTACATCGCCGCCCTGAAGCCGTTGCCCATCAAGGTCACGCAGCTTCTCTCTGAGCTTGGGGTCAAGTGAGTAGCGCACCTACGATTAACGCGGTTGGCTACGTACGGTGCGAAAGAAGTTGAACAAACATACGGCTACACTATACACTACAATACACACTACACTATCCACTACACTATACACTACACTATACACTACAATACACACTATACTATACACTACAATACACACTACACTATACACTACAATACACACTACACTATGCACTACATACTACACTACACTATACACTACATACTACACTACACTATACACTACTATATACACTACACTATACACTACAATACACACTACACTATGCACACTACACTATACACTACAATACGCACTACACTATACACTACATACTACACTACACTATCCACTACAATACACACTACACTACACACTACACTATACACTACAATACACACTACACTATACACTACACTATCCACTACAATACACACTACACTATACACTATCCACTACAATACACACTACACTATACACTACAATACACACTACACTATACACTACAATACACACTACACTACACACGACACTATACACTACACTATACACTACACTATACACTACAATACACACTATACTATACACTACATACTACACTACACTATACACGGCACTGTACACTGCAATACTATACTAAGTTGGAAACTCATTTCTTTCAAGCTGCTTTTTGTGTTTCGTTTGGCTACGTATGACATTAAAGAAGTTTCAACACACACACACTACACTATACACTGTTATGCTGCATCTGCACGCAGCCCTTCTCGCAGTCCCACGGCCTCCGACGGGTAGCTCATATCTGCATGCAGAGCTCCCCGTCATCTGCCACTCTCAGTTGTGTTCACTCAGCCGTGTCATCCCACATGTTTCTCCCAGTTGTGTTTTGTTGTGTCAAGTTCTGTTCTCTCGATGGCGTGTTCTCGCAGTGTTTGTCTCTCAGTGTTTGTCTCGCAGTTGCGTTGTCTCAGTTTTCTTCTCTCGGTGTCTAATGAGCTCCTGTAAGTTGTGTTCTCTCGGCTGTCTTCTCAGTTTTGTCGTCTTAGTTGTTTTCTCAGTTATGTTTTTTAAATCCTTTATATTGAGTTTGCTTGCTTGCTTGCGCGCTTACGACCGTGCAAATCTTTCGGTCGTTTTTTAACCCATTTCCCGTGATCCAATCGAGCTGACATTTTGCACACAGACTCGTTGTGCGTGACAATATATTTTCGTGGAAAAAATTTCCAAAATTTTACACTTTTTAGGAAAAAATAAATTATATTTAATTACCAATTGCTTAATGGTGGCAGCCATTCATCTGACCCATAGGTGGCAGCCATCTCAAGCCAGAGGACGAGAGGACTCTAGCCGCCCGTTTCAAAGACCAATGTGGGCTGGGTTGTGGCCCATTGAAGACGCATATAAAGGATTTATAGTGAAAAACTTTGTTTTTACGGGTTAATTTTTTCTCAGTTCTTTTCGTCGCATTCTCTTCGTTGCGTTCTCTCTCAACCCGTGCACCTCGTGTTCTTTTTTAGCCCCCCCCCCTCCCGATACGTTCCATTCATTGGCTACCACTTTTTGATAAGCTCCCCCCCTCTCCTCCCCCTTAACTTGTATTTAAGAACTTGCAATCTTGGAATTTCTGCCTCACTTGATGCAGAAAATCTGGCTGTGACGGTCCCACCTGATGCCTCCGAAACGTCGTGATTTTTATTATTATTTTATTTTAAAATCCTTTATTAAGTTCGTTCGCTTGCTTGCTTGCGTGCTTGCTTGCGCGCTTACGACCGTGCAAATCTTTCGGTCGTTTTTGAACCCACTTCCCGTGATCCAATCGAGCTGACATTTTGCACACAGACTCGTTGTGCCAGACAATTAATGTTCGTGAAAAAATGTTTGTTTAAACATTTTAGGAAAAAAAAAATTATATTTTATTACCAATTGCTTAATACTGGCAGACAATCATCTGACCCATAGGTGGCAGCCATCTCAAGCCAGAGGACGAGAGGACTCTAGCCGCCACGCATATAAAGGATTTATAGTGAAAAACTTTGTTTTTACGGGTAAATTTTTTATTAATTTAAATTTCATTTTTTACCTACATGGTGACTTTACCGAAAAAACTAAGAGTATAGTTCTCTCTCTCACCAGAGTCTCTACGTCGTGTCTCGTCCCCCCACCCACCCACCCCCCTCCGTGCCGCGACAGCTTCGACGATTTCTACCACGCTGTGCGAAACATGGATGCACCGCCAGAAATGCAGCTATCGCTCACCACCCTGAATAACCAGTTCCAGGTCGCTGCCGCCATCTACAAAAAGTTCCAGACGTAAGTGATAATCGTAGTAACAATAACGATGATGATAAAAAACTGTTGAACCAAAGTTTGTTATTTTATGATTAAAATGTTTAATTTTTTAAATGTTAATTTTTTTTTACGGGGAGAGAACATGCAAACCCAGGTTCGGGGATCGAACCCACGACCTCCTGTACATCAGGCGGGGTAGTTAACATCTCGCCATCGTGGGGAGATGTTAACTACCTTGGGGATGCGTCACTGGAAAAGGTGGTGAGATTTTATCTCCCTCGCCTGGCATGCAGGAGCTTGTGGGTTCGATCCCGACCTTGATGCCTGCTGTATAATTTGTGTTTGCGTCTCTTCCGTCGTCACGTGGGTCTTCCAGTTGTTCCCTCCACTTTGAGATTCCAAAGAACACAGGATGAGATGTTACTATCCTTTGTGCAAGCACTTCCAAGAGTTCATGAACAGTGAGCCTGGTGAAATTTGGGGAGCGCATCGTCAGTAGTGACCCTTTGGTTCCTAGGGTGTTTCGGCCTTTCACACTATACACCCTCCCCAAAGGCGGCCAGCGACAGGGTGATCAATCCTACGCTTGCGTCCCATTCCCAATTAGTCATAGGAGTTGCCTTGTTGTTGGTAGCCAACATCCCATGGGACTATGCATGGCAGGGGCGTCCTCCTCCCTGAGTCAAGCATTGTTGACTGCATACCTCCTGGCCCTCTCACTTTGGGGCCCAGCTGGGGTCTTTCCTCTTCATCCAGAGCCACTGACTGCTGCCTTCTGCCGCCTCCGATACAGCTTTGATTGCCGAACGCTGGCTCTGGCCCTTAATTCCCAGGTCTCTAAGCAGTCTGGTTGTAGATGTTGCCACTAAAACAACCAGACTGCTTGAGAAACAACGTGAGTTTTTATTATTTTCCCGTAAATATACGTTTTGTGTCGGTAAACCCACCGCCACCCAACGCAGCCATTTGGTGAGGTTTGTCACGTAACAAACAAGACGTGCCAATTCGTTACTAGTTCGAAACGTCGCTGTACTCGAATTGTAGATATTGTAGTGGGTTTAGTCTCCGACACATCGGTTCGTGCTAAACTCGTAACTAATTGGCACGTTCTGTTTATATTCTTAGGTTTTTTCGGTAAAGTCACGTAGGTAAAAAACATTAAGTATGCGCCCCTTGCACCACGATCTTGCAATCTCTCATTTACTTGATACAGCTGTCGTGGCTGTGACGGTACCACCTGAAGACGGAAGCTTGTGTTGCCTCCGAAACGTCGTGATTTTTTATTTTATTTTACTTTTTAATGTTTTTTACCTACGTGACTTTACCGAAAAAACCTAAGAATATGAATCCCTGCAGTCACGAAAGCTTCAAATCTAGAATTAACGTTTTGTTTACGTGAGAAACCCTTGCTGATTGGTTGTGTCGGGTGGGGGCGGGTTCAACGACACATTTATAATAATTGTTTTTTTACCCTTCTATCTGGCAACAAAACTGACACCTTTTTTTACAAGGAGTCATGTTTGCATAGACCACAATACCTGCAGTCGTAACGCAAACAAAAAACACAACTCTGATAATGTATGCACCGTCCTTGAAGTTTATTGGTCCACACCCGAGACAGCTTTTCTTAGAGCCTAGTCTCACATGGTGTTGGACCAGATGACGCCAAAAGGCGCACAACTCAAAGACAATGCACCATCAGAGTATGAGAGCTCGGGGTAAGCATTTACACCATTGGAACCTCATTTGCCAGTAAAAAATATAATTGTTTTTTTACCCTTTTATCTGGCAACAAAACTGACACCTTTTTTTACGAGGAGTCATGTTTGCATAGACCACAATACCTGCAGTCATAATGCAAACAAAAAACACAACTCTGATAATGTATGCACCGTCCTTGAAGTTGATTGGTCCACACCCGAGACAGCTTTCCTTAGAGCCTAGTCTCACATGGTGTTGGACCAGATGACGCCAAAAGGCGCACAACTTTTTTTACATTTACACCATCTAACCCCTCCCAAACTCCGGCGTTGATTTAATTTTATCCCAAACGCAACGGAGCGGTCGAATCGACGCCAGTGCATTAAAAATATATTTTTTAAATCCTTTATATGAAGTTCACTTGCTTGCTTGCGTGCTTGCTTGCTTACGACCGTGCAAATATTTCGGTCGTTTTTTAACCCACTTCCCGTGAACCAATCGAGCTGACATTTTGCACACAGACTCGTTGTGCGAGACAATTAATGTTCGTGAAAAAAATTTGCCAAAATTTTACACTGTTTAGGGAAAACAAATTAAATACTTAATTACCAATTGCTTAATACTGGCAGGCAATCATCTGACCCATAGGTGGCAGCCATCTCAAGCCAGAGAACGAGAGGACTCTAGCTACCACGCATATAAAGGATTTATAGTGAAAAACTTTGTTTTTACGGGTTATACTTATTTATCGAATTACGTTCCCCTTAATACGCCGGGCGAAAAAGTGATCTCGGAAATCCGCTTGAGTGGGGTCCGCCCTTTCGAGCACGGGAGAGCATCCCGGCGCTGGAGATTGCTCGGAACGCTTCGTAGGCTCGCGACGGCGGCAGCGCTCAATCGGCGTCGTAACATTCGAGCAGAAAGAACAAAATAAAAATGCTTAACGCCGCTCCCTCCCCTCCTCGGTGAAAAACTAACGAGACGGAGGACTGAGCGATAAGATACGAATGGGACCCCGCAGACGGGATCTTATCTTCTCGTACATTTGTATAGCGCCTCAACCAAGGCGCTGTACAGTGAACTAACTATGGTACAAGATGGTTGGCTCGATGAAACGAAACGAGTGCATGGGATGTGCTGTAAAACCTTTGATTGCGAGTGTAGTAGAGTTACCCACTCGATGTTCACAAACTGGGAGAGCTAATCGTTGACAAGGTTTTCCCGCTCAAACTAACGGTCAGGGTCTCACAAGTTGTGAGAGCTGACCGTAAACAAGGTTTTCCCGCGCGACCTAACGGTCAGGGTCAGATAGGGTGAATTGGGATCCTAAAGCAGATTGGGAACGACCAATCACAGGGTTCCACAAGGTGGCCGGGGATTGGACAACCCGGCCACGAACGAGTATAAAGCCAGAGCGCTCAGAGCTCTCGGGGAGTTCGACAACACGAAGACCCAAGACGGCGGAAGAAGCCTAGGACCCTGGACCAAGCCCTCCAGCCCTTATAAGGGCTAGGGTTCAGAGTAACCAGTGGTCGAGGAGACATCTCCCTAGGTCCAGTCAGAGGACATTGAAAGAGCGGGATATTAAGTAGCCTGTAGGGTGCGGAGGCTTGTACGTTCTGAGTGTAACGGGTGAGGGGACCGTATACCCCTCAGTGCATAGGGACTGTGTTCACAAATAAAAGTGTGTGCTACAAAAAGACGTTGAAGAGTCCGTCTGTACAACACTACACGAGCATAATTCGTTCCGGAAAAGAGTTTGTAATCCAAAGCACTCGCGTATCAAAGCACTGGTACATCAGTTGTGATCACGTGACGCTGGGCAGACAAAGCGTACACACGCGTACGACTCGTATCGCAAGACCCCTCGCTCGTTTATCAAATTAATATTTATTTAAAAATGTTGCTCGTCTTGCAAAACACTCGCAGACCAAATTACTCGCAATGCAAGGTTTTGTTGTTTGTCAAACTAGCTTGACTGCCCGGCCTCGCCCGGGGCTCGGATTCTTGTATGTATATTTTTTTAAACATTATTTTTTACACGTTACGTTTCGTCTTGGCTATAATTGTCCACGCTCAACTGACGTCGGCTGTAATTGGCCGCGGGCCCCTTACGTTGTGGCAAGCTGGAGTCGTGGAGTTCAGCCATTACTCGTACATTTAATTAAAACGTGTTTAAAAAAAGTATTTTAAAATATTACTTATTGTTTTGATTGTCGATTGACGGATTTAGTTTGTTGATCTTTGATCTCGTGGGAATTCTCACCCCCCCCCCCAATCGACCTCGCAGGATGTACGGCAAGATCTTCAACGAAGACGGCAGAGGATGGTAGGCCGGCAGTCATCTCCGCCACTTTATCCCTCGTCACGTTTTCTCTCGTCACATTATCTCACGTCACTTGTTCTCTCTCTCTCGATGCATCAGTCGCGTAGAGTTATGCGAATCGCCGGTAGCCAATATCGCGCAGAGCCAAATTTGCCAATGTTGCAAAGGAATACCTCCGTTACACCAATAAAATATTACACCTTCTTGGTTCTTTGGGTAAAGTCACGTAGAAGGGAAATAATAAAATAATAAAAATAAAACATAAAATACAATTCTCACGACTTTTCGGCCACAACGCAAGCAGCCGTCCTCGGGTGAAGAACAGGTCTGTCGGAAAGACAGCGTCCATTCAGTCCATTCAGACGCTGTCTTTCCGACAGACCTGTTCATTCAGACGCTGTCTTTCCGACAGACCTGTTCATTCAGACGCTGTCTTTCCGACAGACCTGTTCATTCAGACGCTGTCTTTCCGACAGACCTGTTCATTCAGACGCTGTCTTTCCGACAGACCTGTTCATTCAGACGCTGTCTTTCCGACAGACCTGTTCATTCAGACGCTGTCTTTCCGACAGACCTGTTCATTCAGACGCTGTCTTTCCGACAGACCTGTTCATTCAGACGCTGTCTTTCCGACAGACCTGTTCATTCAGACGCTGTCTTTCCGACAGACCTGTTCATTCAGACGCTGTCTTTCCGACAGACCTGTTCATTCAGACGCTGTCTTTCCGACAGACCTGTTCATTCAGACGCTGTCTTTCCGACAGACCTGTTCATTCAGACGCTGTCTTTCCGACAGACCTGTTTTTCACCTGAGGACGGCTGCTTGCGTTGTGGCCGAAACGTCGTGAGAATTGTATTTTATTATGTTTTATTTTTATTATTTCCCTTCTACGTGACTTTACCGAAAGAACCAAGAAGATGAATCCCTGCAGTCACGAAAGCTTTAAATGGAAAATATTACACATTATGTAAAAATATTACACCTTACATAATTACATTACATCATTACATCGCATCCCTTACCTTACATCATAATGTCGCATCATTACACGTCGCATCAATAACAAAATAACGAAATTACGTCCCCCACAGCGCCTCACCGTTTCCGTCCAAGATGGCAAGGGAGTGCTGGACAATGTTCATCCTCGCCAAGGGTGAGTGATCGTCTTCCTCTTGAGGCAGAGGTCGCAACCAGGTACCCGATACCCGTGCCCTACCCGATACCCGACTACCCGTACCCGGCCAGGTACGGGTACCCGTTTGCGACCCTGGTGCGGCCGGGTACGGGTACGGGTAGGCCGTGAGTCACTGGTGAGTCACCGTTTGTCACTCATTTCGGGTAGGGTACGGGTAGGGAACGGCTACCCGTACCCAGCCGGGTACTGGTACGGGTACCCATTTGCGACCCTGGTGCGGCCGGGTACGGGTAAGGAATCAAAACTCGTTTGCGACCTCTGCTCTGAAGCCAGTGGTGTTTCTCAAATTTGACAAGGAACTTGTAGATTTGAAGTTTTCGTGACTGCAAGGAGTTTTCCATACTCTTTGTATTTTTCCGATAAAGTCACGTAGATAATGAAATATTTAAAAATAATAAAAAAAAACACGCTTTAATGACATGTACTGTCTGAGCCGCCCACCCCCCTGCCCCCTTCCCCCATCGCCCCTCCCCCCTCCGCGAGTTGAGCGTGGACAATTTAAGAGCCGTAAACGTGGACAATTAGAGGCGTAAAAAATATTGTTTACAAAGATATTTTTACATTTTTTTAATGATGGAATATAGTTATTCTTTGGTTCTTTCGGTAAAGTCACGTCTAAAGACAAAATAATAAATTAAAATAATAGCATATTACGACGTTTCGATTGCAACACAAGCAATCATCATCAGGCGTAAAAGAAATAGCAACAAAATCCAACTAGAAAACTATAGACAGACATACAAGCAGACAGACATCACAAGGACACACAAAGAGAGGACACGTATCGGCACAAAGAGAGGGGGTCGTTTCTGTGACGGTCCCTTAAATATAGAGAGGGGGAGCAGAGAAAATGATCATATCAATGAGTGGATGGCAACGCAAGTAAGATGACGACGTGGCACGGCACGCAAGCTTGAAAATTAGGAGAAAGGCACACTAAAATTAAATAACCTCGCAAAATAGCGATGGAATATAGTATTGTAATGATAATTGGTTTTTTTTACACGTCTATCTGGCAACAAAACTGACAAAAAAAGGTGTCAGTTTTGTTTCCAGATAGAAGGGTAAAATAATCAATTATCATATTTTTTTACTGGCAAATGAGGTTCCAATGGTGAATATAGTATTGTCATCAGTGTGACCAAGTTTGCAGTCGATATGACATTGGGAGTACGGTTGAAATTGAGTTACAAGATTTTTGTATACGACAACACAGTAACACTATGGGAACCTCATTTGCCAGTAAAAATATGATAATTGGTTTTTTACCCTTCTATCTGGCAACAAAACTGACACCTTTTTACAAGGAGTCATGTTTGCATAGACCACAATACCTGCAGTCATAATGCAAACAAAAAACATAACTCTGATAATGTGCACTGTCCTTTTGGCGTCATCTGGTCCAACCCATGTGAGACTAGGCTCAAAGGAAAGCTGTCTCGGGTGTGGACCAATCAACTTCAAGGACAGTGCACATTATCAGAGTTATGTTTTTTGTTTGCATTATGACTGCAGGTATTGTGGTCTATGCAAACATGACTCCTTGTAAAAAGGTGTCAGTTTTGTTGCCAGATAGAAGGGTAAAAAACCAATTATAACACACAGTAAGTTAATTAAAAGCGTGTAAAATGTAAAAAAAAATATTTGTTTGAGATTTTTAATGATAGAATATAGTATTTTCATTAGTGTGACATAGCTATACCAAGTTTGCAGTCAATACGACATTGGGAGTACGACAACACATACAGCAAGTTAAATACATCTTCTTGGTTCTTTCGGTAAAGTCACGTAGAAGGGAAATAATAAAATAATAAAAATAAAACATAATAAAATATAATTCTCACGACGTTTCGGCCACAACGCAAGCAGCCGTCCTCAGGTGAAGAACAGGTCTGTCGGGGAGACAGCGTCTGAATGAACACCACCAGACTTGGCAGCGTATATTTAAGCTGGGTTAGGGGAAATCGAAATTTAAGTTAAATAAAAGCGTGTAAAAAGTTGTAAAATATATGTTTTGGATTTTGTATGATAGAATATCGTGTTGTCATCAGTGTGACATACCTACACGAAGGTTGCAGTCGATAGCACATTGGGAAGTGTGTTTTTAATTGAGTTACAAGATTTATTTTTTGAGGATACAACAGATGAAGTTAAAGATAAAATAAATAAAATCATATATTTTACTGGCAAATGAGGTACCAATGGTGTAAATGCTTACCCTGAGCTCTCATACTCTGACGGTGCATTGTCTTTGAGTTGTGCGCCTTTTGGCGTCATCTGGTCCAACACCATGTGAGACTAGGCTCTAGGGAAAGCTGTCTCGGGTGTGGACCAATCAACTTCAAGGACAGTGCACATACATTATCAGAGTTGTGTTTTTTGTTTGCATTACGGCTGCAGGTATTGTGGTCTATGCAAACATGACTCCTCGTAAAAAAAGGTGTCAGTTTTGTTGCCAGATAGAAGGGATAAAAAAACAATTATCATAAATTAAATATAGCTGGGCCCTTTGTCTGACTGGTGTGGCTGGCTCCTTTGTCTGACTGGTGTGGCTGGCCTCTTTGTCTGACTGGTGTGGCTGGCCTCTTTGTCTGTGGTGTGGCTGGCTCCTTTGTCTGACTGGTGTGGCTGGGGCCTTTGTCTGACTGGTGTGGCTGGGGCCTTTGTCTGACTGGTGTGGCTGGCCCCTTTGTCTGACTGGTGTGTCTGACACCTTTGTCTGACTGGTGTGGCTGGGCCCTTGTCTGTGTGGTTGCGTCGTGCAGGCCACGGGCTCCAGGCTGGCACGGATCTGGTCTCGGCGTTCCATCTCCTGCTGTGCGTCCTGGACCACTTTGCCTCCCGCTGCCCGGCCTCGTCTCTTCACGAGCCCTACGGTAACGCCGCGGGGGGGGGGGGGGGGCGGGGGTTGTATTGTGGTTAATGTGAACATGATTCCTTGCAAAAGGTGTCAGTTTTGTTGGCAGAAAAAAGGGGAAAAACCCTATTAGTATATTTTGGTACTGGCAAAGGAGGTCCCACGATGAAGGGGGTGACTTCTTCCTCCCAATATTTGACGCACACACTCGCAACACACACACATACACACGCAACGAAGGACGTTCAACGCACATGCACACATACACACGCAACGAAAGACGTTCAACACACACGCACACATACACACGCAACCAAAAAAGATCAACGCACAAAACAAAGATCTCCCGTATAGCCTTAACAGACTGCAGGGGCAAGTGCTGTTAGCGAGCACCTATGAATGCCGGCACGGCACACGAGGGGGTGGGTGGCCAGCACCACGCCCGACCGCCTTTGTCTCCCCAGTGGCGATGTTTACACACCACACCAGGTAATCATTTCAGGCTGAGTCGACCTAGGGGAGGCCCAGGACCAGTTCAGATAATCGTCACCGGTGTTGGCCGTGAGCGAGAATCGAACCCGGGTCGCCAGGTTCATAGCACAGCGCGGCGCTAACCGCTACACCACCGCTCCCCAACACACACGCACACATACACACGCGACGAAAGACGTTCAACATACACGCACACATACACACGCAACGAAAGAATATCAACACACACGCACACATGCACACGCAACGAAAGAATATCAACACACACGCACACATACACACGCAACTAAAGACGTTCAACACACACATACACACGCACACGCAACCAAAGACGTTCAACACGAAAACCCCTTTGCCCCCTTTGCCCCACCCCTGCCGGCCGTAGCGTCCGCCGTCAGAGACGGCAAACCGGCGTCCGAGGTCGACACGGACGGAGAGGTCGACCCGGCGGCTTCGAGCGGCGAGCACTCGTACAGCCAGGGGACCGTCACCGCCGGCGTGGCCACGGCCGCCACCGTCACGACGCCTGTGGTGGTCGTAACGCCGCCTGCCATCGCGTTGTTGTGCCGTCACAACAACTGCAACCACGAGGAGGTGAGTTTTGTTGCACTTTCAGTTTTTTTTGCACGAAGGTGTGTGTGAGTGTGTGGACGCTGGTTTTCACCTGAGGACGGCTGCTTGCGTTGTGGCCGAAACGTCGTGAGAATTGTATTTTATTGTGTTTTATTTTATTATTTTATTACTTGACCTGAGGACGGCTGCTTGCGTTGTGGCCGAAACGTCGTGAGAATTGTATTTTATTGTGTTTTATTTTTATTATTTATTACTCACCTGAGGACGGCTGCTTGCGTTGTGGCCGAAACGTCGTGAGAATTGTATTTTATTATGTTTTATTTTTATGATTTTATTACTCACCTGAGGACGGCTGCTTGCGTTGTGGCCGAAACGTCGTGAGAATTGTATTTTATTGTGTTTTATTTTTATTATTTTATTACTCACCTGAGGACGGCTGCTTGCGTTGTGGCCGAAACGTCGTGAGAATTGTATTTTATTGTGTTTTATTTTTATTATTTTATTACTCACCTGAGGACGGCTGCTTGCGTTGTGGCCGAAACGTCGTGAGAATTGTATTTTATTATGTTTTATTTTTATTATTTTATTACTTCACCTGAGGACGGCTGCTTGCGTTGTGGCCGAAACGTCGTGAGAATTGTATTTTATTATGTTTTATTTTTATTATTTTATTACTTCCCTTCTACGTGGCGACTTTACCGAAAGAACCAAGAAGATTCTTTCACAGCGTACGTAGCCAAACCGGGCAAATTTTTTCGGTACCAGGTCCGATCGACTGTGCCTCAAATGAATAGCCGGTGCGGTGTGTGGTGTAGTAAACATCGCGTCGAAGGAAACAAAGGTGGCCGGGCGTGGTGCTGGCCACCCACCCCCTCGTGTGCCGTGCCGGCCTTCATAGGCACTGTTAATCGCTAACAGCACTTGCCCCAACAGTCTGTTAATGCTGTACGGGGGATCCTTGTTCGGTCTTTGTTTGATCTTTGTATTACAGTGTGTCACTGCTGTGTGTGTGTGTCACTGTATGTGTGTCACTGTGTGTTACTGTGTGTGTGTGTCACTGTGTGTCACTGTGTGTGTGTCACTGTGTGTGTCACTGCTGTGTGTGTGTCACTGTGTGTGTGTGTCACTGTGTGTGTGTGTCACTGTGTGTGTGTGTCACTGTGTGTGTGTCACTGTGTGTGTGTGTCACTGTGTGTGTGTGTGTGTGTCACTGTGTGTGTGACACTGTGTGTGTGTGTCACTGTGTGTGTGTGTCACTGTGTGTGTGTGTCACTGTGTGTGTGTGTGTCACTGTGTGTGTCACTGTGTGTGTGACACTGTGTGTGTGTCACTGTGTGTGTGTGTCACTGTGTGTGTGTGTCACTGTGTGTGTGTGTCACTGTGTGTGTGTCACTGTGTGTGTGTGTCACTGTGTGTGTGTGTCACTGTGTGTGTGTCACTGTGTGTGTGTCACTGTGTGTGTGTCACTGTGTGTGTGTCATGCTGGTGTTAATACCCTGCCGTGTGTGTCACTGTGTGTGTGTGTCACTGTGTGTCACTGTGTGTGTGTGTCACTGTGTGTCACTGTGTGTGTGTCACTGTGTGTGACACTGTGTGTGACACTGCTGGTGTTAATACCCTGCTGTGTGTGACACTGTGTGTGTGTCACTGTGTGTGTGTGTGTGTCACTGTGTGTGTGTGTCACTGTGTGTGTGTGTCACTGTGTGTGTGTCACTGTGTGTGTGTGTCACTGTGTGTGTGTGTCACTGTGTGTGTGTCACTGCTGGTGTTAATACCCTGCCGTGTGTGTCACTGTGTGTGTGTGTCACTGTGTGTCACTGTGTGTGTGTGTCACTGTGTGTCACTGTGTGTGTGTCACTGTGTGTGACACTGTGTGTGACACTGCTGGTGTTAATACCCTGCTGTGTGTGACACTGTGTGTGTGTCACTGTGTGTGTGTGTGTGTCACTGTGTGTGTGTGTCACTGTGTGTGTGTGTGTCACTGTGTGTGTGTGTTACTGTGTGTTTGTGTCACTGTGTGTGTGTGTCACTGCTGGTGTTAATACACTGCTCTCTTTAACCAACTGTGTGTAGGTCATGAGCATTCACGCCGGCTGTTTCCTCCCTTTCCTGAGCTCTCTCCCAGCCACCACGAGAGACGCCCTCCTGCAGGTAAATAACGCCGGCATCGGGACTTGCCTCACCTCAAAGAGACATCGTCATAAATACGCATCGCCACACACATCATCATCATCATCACTCATCATCATCATTCTCATCATCATCATCATCATTCTCATCATCATCATCATTCTCATCATCATCGCACATATCATCATCATGCACAGCATCACCACACACATTATCATCATCATTACATCATCATCATTACTCATCATCATCATCACTCATCATCATCACTCATCATCACTCATCATCACTCATCACTCATCATCATCATCACTCATCATCACTCATCATCATCATCATCGCACACATCATCATCATGCACAGTATCACCACACACATCATCACTCATCATCATCATCACTCATCATCATCATCACTCATCATCATCATCACTCATCATCATCATCATCGCACACATCATCATCATGCACAGTATCACCACACACATCATCATCACTCATCATCATCATCACTCATCATCATCATCACTCATCATCATCATCACTCATCATCATCATCATCGCACACATCATCATCATGCACAGTATCACCACACATCATCATCATCACACACACATCATCATGCACAGCGTCGCCACACACATCATCATCACTCATCATCATCACTCATCATCATCACTCATCATCATCATCATCGCACACATCATCATCATGCACATCATCACCACACATCATCATCATCATCATCCACAGCAATCACCGCACACATCATCATCGTCACACACAGCATCACCACACATCATCATCATCATCATCCACAGCAATCACCGCACACATCATCACCACACATCATCATCATCATCATCCACAGCAATCACCGCACACATCATCATCGTCACACACATCATCACCACACATCATCATCATCGTCACACACAACATCACACATCATCATCATCATCCACAGCAATCACCGCACACATCATCATCGTCACACACATCACCACACATCATCATCATCATCATCCACAGCAATCACCACACACATCATCATCGTCACACACATCACCACACATCATCATCATCATCCACAGCAATCACCGCACACATCATCATCGTCACACACAACATCACACATCATCATCATCATCCACAGCAATCACCACACACATCATCATCGTCATACACATCACCACACATCATCATCATCATCATCCACAGCAATCACCGCACACATCATCATCGTCACACACATCACCACACATCATCATCATCATCATCCACAGCAATCACCACACACATCATCATCGTCACACACATCACCACACATCATCATCATCATCATCCACAGCAATCACCACACACATCAACATCGTCATACACAACATCACACATCATCATCATCATCATTCACAGCAATCACCACACACATCATCATCGTCATACACATCACCACACATCATCATCATTCACAGCAATCACCACACACATCAACATCGTCACACATCATCACCACACATCATCATCATTCACAGCAATCACCGCACACATCATCATCGTCACACACATCATCACCACATCATCATCATTCACAGCAATCACCACACACATCAACATCGTCACACACAACATCACACATCATCATCATCATCCACAGCAATCACCACACACATCATCATCGTCACACACATCATCACCACATCATCATCATCCACAGCAATCACCACACACATCAACATCGTCACATACATCACCACACATCATCATCATCATCCACAGCAATCACCGCACACATCATCATCGTCACACACAACATCACCACACATCATCATCCACAGCAATCACCACACACATCAACATCGTCACACACAACATCACCACACATCATCATCATCATCCACAGCAATCACCACACACATCATCATCATCACACACAACATCACCACACATCATCATCATCATCCACAGCAATCACCACACACATCAACATCATCACCACACATCATCACCACACATCATCATCACACACAACATCACCACACATCATCATCACACACAACATCACCACACACATCATCATCGTCATACACAACATCACACATCATCATCATCATCCACAGCAATCACCACACACATCATCATCGTCACACACGGCATCACCACACAGCATTGGCTGCCCCTCTGCGTTGTTGTCACAGCTGCTGAGTGAGCGGTACGGGGCGTTGTACGAGCAGACACGTGGCATCGATGAACGGGACTTTCTCGTCAACCACCCCTCCCTCGTGCCCAACGCCGACAAAGTGTGAGACCCGCAGCTATCGTCACATTATTTTATGTATATGTCTTTTCATTCATAATTAACGTTTTTGGGTTTAGATGGCGTTATTTAGAAATGTGTCGTAACCCTCCACCACCCGACACGGCCAGTCGGTAAAAAAGTGTCACGTTGACAAAAGACAAATAGGTCACTGCTCAAATTGTAAATGTTGTGGTTTCACGCTTCAACACACTGGTGGGCTAAAGCAGTGAACTGTTTGTCTTTTGTCAACGTGACACTTTTTTTACTGATCGGCCGTGTCGGGTGGTTGGAGGGTTACGACACATTTCTAAATAACGCGATCTAAACCCAAAAACGTTGATTATGAATAATATTGGTCGCGAAAGCCTGCTACGTGTTAATATGTCTTTTTAATTTGAAGACGCTAACCAACCCCGCCCATGCCTCAACACTGACTAAACAGTAAGCGCCGCAATTATCGCTACTTTTATTTTTTCTAAAGACGCTAACCCACCCCGCTTTCGCGCCCAATGCCGATAAACGGTAAGGCCCCGCGATTATCGCTACGTTTTTATTTTTCTAGAGACTCTAATCAACCCCACTTTCGAGAATTATTTTATAATGTTTTATTTTTATTATTTTATTATTTCCCTTCTACGTGACTTTCCCTGCAGTCACGAAGAAAGCTTTGAATCAAAGGTGTTAAGATGTTAAAACACCAAACTGAAACCTTTCACAAGGAAAACCTATTCGCATGCTTTGGTAGTGGCTAAGGAGGTCCCATGATGTCGTAGTTTAAAAAAAATTAGTTTTGAACCTATCCACGTGACTTTACCGAAAGACCCAAATAATTTGTAAATGAATATTCGCGATGATATTCTTTCTAAAATTATTGTGCTTTATAATTGTATTTCTATTATTATTTTTATTATCTATTTTTACCTACACGGTGACTTTACCGAAAAAACCCAAGAGTATGAATCCTTGCAGTCACGAAAGCTTCAAATCTACGACGTTAGGTTGTTGATGGCAATTTTGTCGTATCGCCAGCGTAAGATCGAAATATCGTAAGTCGGACCCCGTCGTAACTCGGGGACTACCTGCACATTCAACTCTTTGGGTCTTTGGGTAAAGTGTCGTAGATAGAATAAAAAATTAACCCGTAAAAACAAAGTTTTTCACTATAAATCCTTTATATGCGTGGCGGCTCGAGTCCTCTCGTCCTTTGGCTTGAGATGGCTGCCACCTATGGGTCAGATGATTGTCTGCCAGCATTAAGCAATTGGTAATTAAATATTAGAATTTTTTTCCCTAAACAGTGTAACATTTTTAAAAAAAATTTTCACGAACATTAATTGTCTCGCACAACGAGTCTGTGTGCAAAATGTCAGCTCGATTGGATCACGGGAAGTGGGTTAAAAAACGACCGAAAGATTTGCACGGTCGTAAGCACGCACGCAAGCACGCAAGCAAGCAAGCAAGTGAACTTAATATAAAGGATTTAAAAATAGATCACGACGTTTCGATCGCAACACAAGCAAGCAATCGTCTTCAGGTGAAGACCATTGCCTGTGTAGCGCTCGAAACGTCGTGATTTATTACCGAAAAACCACCAAAGAGTATGAATTTTCTACAGTCACGAAAGCTTTAAATCAAGATTTATTATTTATATTTAAAATTTAGAAGACACTAACCACCGTTCCCACGTGCCCATCGCTGACAAACGGTGTGGCGCCCTCAATTATCGTGAAAAAAACGTCTCCCCTTTCGATTCTTTCACGACGCTAATGCAAAAATAAGATGATGAAGATTACACGCGCGGCGTTTCCTGGTGTCCCACGTAACCTTTCCTGTAGATTTCGCTCCTATCGTGTTGTTCGTATTGTTGTAACAAACAAGCCACTGAGAGCTCTGCACTTTTAAATCTAGATTGAAAACTCACTTCTTTACAACTGGTTGTTGTTCTTCTTGGTTCTTTCGGTAAAGTCATCACGTAGAAGGGAAGTAATAAAATAATACAAATAAAACATAATAAAATACAATTCTCACGACGTTTCGGCCACAACGCAAGCAGCCGTCCTCAGGTGAAGAACAGGTCTGTCGGAAAGACAGCGTCCGAATGAAACACCACCAGGCTTGGCAGCGTATATTTAAGCTGGGATAGGGGAAATCGAAATTTAAGTTAAATAAAAGCGTGTGAAAAGTTGTAAAATACATGTTTTGGATTTTGTATGATAGAATATCGTGTTGTCATCAGTGTGACATACCTACACGACGTTGTTGTTGTTGTGTTCAGTTCGTTGTTGTCTCCCCCCACCACCCCGCAACTCCGATTAGAAGTTCACCATACGTACATACACGTGTCACGTTCTGACCTGCCCCAACTGGACATGTGTGTGTGTGTTGTAGCTTGTCGGATTCCTCCACTATATAGACAAATATTCTGATTCCGCGTTTGTTTCGTAACGTCTACGCCGTACCGTTGCGTAGGCCGCAGGCTCCGGGCAGCCCAACCAGGAGCCAGGATGCAATGCCCGGACCGCAACAGACGCCAATCAGGTGAGGGCAATATCTCTCTCAGTCTCTCCCCACCGCTCGCTTTCAAGACCGCCACAGCGGAAAAATCTTTACTACCTCGCCTGGTATGCAGGGAGTCGTGGGTTCGATCTCGACCCTCACGACGCCTGCTGTATATTTGAAGTTTGCATGTCTCTCTCTCTCATCATCATCATCACGGTGGCTATGAGATGTTAACTACCTTGCCTGGTATGCAGGGAGTCGTGGGTTCGATCCCGACCTTGATGACGCCTGCTGTATATTTGGAGTTTGCGTGTCTCTGTCATCGTCGTCACGGTGGCTAGGAGATGTTAACTACCTCGCCTGGTATACAGAAGGTCGTGGGTTCGATCCCGACCATGACGACGCCTGCTGCTGTATATTGGGAGTTTGCGAGTCTCTGTCATCGTTATAACGGTGGCTAGGAGATGTTCACTACCTTGCCTGGTGTGCAGGAAGTCGTGGGTTCGATCCTGACCGCGACGCCTGCTGCTGTATATTTGGAGTTTGTGTGTCTCTCTCTTATCATCATCATGGTGGCTAGGAGATGTTAACTACCTCGCCTGGTGCACAGGTGGTCGTGGGTTCGATCTCGACTGTGACGACGCCTGCTGCTGTATATTTGGAGTTTGTGTGTCTCTGTCATCATCATCACGGTGGCTCGGAGATGTTAACTACCTCGCCTGGTGCACAGGTGGTCGTGGGTTCGATCTCGACTGTGACGACGCCTGCTGCTGTGTATTTGGAGTTTGTGTGTCTCTCTCATCATCATCATCATCACGGTGGCTCGGAGATGTTAACTACCTCGCCTGGTGCACAGGTGGTCGTGGGTTCGATCTCGACTGTGACGACGCCTGCTGCTGTATATTTGGAGTTTGCGTGTCTCTCTCATCATCATCATCATCACGGTGGCTCGGAGATGTTAACTACCTCGCCTGGTGCACAGGTGGTCGTGGGTTCGATCTCGACTGTGACGACGCCTGCTGCTGTATATTTGGAGTTTGCGTGTCTCTCTCATCATCATCATCATCACGGTGGCTCGGAGATGTTAACTACCTCGCCTGGTATGCAGAAGGTCGTGGGTTCGATCCCGACCGTGGATTTTTGTCCGGGTCCTCGGGATTTCTACTCGACATTTACAATCGACGTGACGCGTTCGGAGCATTTGCCTGCTGCTATAAATTTCCACGCGATGACGACGATTCACTTTGTTGAGCTATCATTCGTGGCGCCCAGTTTGCTTCTGAAGAAGAGCCGAATAGGTCGGTGGTGTCTTGCCTGGCAGAATAAGAAAATATATAATTAGACCTCCTTTGCCAGTACCAAAATATAATAATAGGGGTTTACCCCTTTTTTCTGGCAACAAAATTGAAAACTTTTTACAAGGAATCATGTTTGCATTAACCACAATACTTGTGGTCAAAATACAAACAAAAAACACACTCTTTGAGCTGCGTGCGCCTTTTGGCGTCCTCTGGTCTAGCACCAATTGTGATGAGGCTCACAAGAAAGCTGTCTTTGGTGTGGACCAAACAAAAAACACACTCTGATAATATCTCTGGCATTGTCCTTGAAACTGATTGGTCCACACCAAAGACAGCTTTCTTTTGAGCCTCATCACAATTTATGCTAGACTTGAGGACGCCAAAAGGCGCACACAGCTCAAAGAGTGTGTTTTTTGTTTGTATTTTGACCACAAGTATTGTGGTTAACGCACACGTGATTCCTTGTAAAAAAGTTTTCAGTTTTGTTTGCCAGAAAAAAGTGGAAAAGCCCCTATTATTACAAGAAAACATAGTTTAGTTTAAATATTTATTCTCTCTATTTTGAATGTTTTCATTGCAACTCAACGCGGGCACGGTTACAATACGCGCCGATGGCACAACGGAAGGGGATACGGAAACTGTGAGACAGCAAATGCCGGTCTCGGCACGACAGGACCCCTCCGTATTCTTTGAGTCTTTCGGTAAAGTCACGAAGATAGGTTCAAAGAAAATAACAAAACCAAAAAAACCATGACGTTTCGATCGCGACACAAGCCGTCCTCATCAGGGTTGACGACAGCTTGTGTTGCGATCGAAGCGTCGTGGTTTTTTGTTTTGTTATTTTCTTGGGACCTATCCACTTGGATGGAAGTAATAAAATAAAAAAAATAAAAGATAATAAAATAATTCTCACGACGTTTCGGCCACAACGCAAGCAGCCGTCCTCAGGTGAAGAATGAAACAGCACCAAGCTTGGAGCGTATATTTAAGCTGCGTTGGAGGGGGGGGGGGAGGTGGGAAGAAGAGCGCCTTGACAAAATAATTTTCATATCAAGAGGGATTTAACATTTTTATTATTTTATTACTTCCCTTCTACGTGATGACTTTACCGAAAGAACCAAGAAGATGAATCCCTGCAGTCACGAAAGCTTTAAATCGAAATTTTATTATGTTTTATTTTTATTATTCTATTACTTCCCTTCTACGTGACTTTACCGAAAGAACCAAGAAGATGAATCCCTGCAGTCACGAAAGCTTTAAATCGAAATTTAATTATGTTTTATTTTTATTCTTTTATTACTTCCCTTCTACGCGACTTTACCGAAAGAACCAAGAAGATGAATCCCTGCAGTCACGAAAACTTTAAATCGACATTTAATTATGTTTTATTTTTATTATTCTATTACTTCCCTTCTACGTGACTTTACCGAAAGACCCAAAGAATATGAATTCCTGCAGTAGTCAGTAAAGCTTTAAGTCAAGGACCCTATCTATCTATGAGGGGGTCGATAAAATAATTGGACTCTCTGCCCCACCAAAGTTTGGCTCGCGTGCCGGGCTGGGGTGGGGTGGAAAACGAGGGACGTTTCGATTTGCAACACAAGCAATCGTCATCAGGTGGGAAAACCACAGCAAGAAAGAAAAAAAACGCTTCAAATCTCGATTGAAGGGAAGGGGGAGGGAATTAACGTTTTTATTTTGTTGACGCTTCGCGATGAATTCCCCAGGACCACGATGAACACGGTTCAGCAGCTGAAGCTGATCCTGAACTCAGCGAGCGATGAACCTTCCGCGACGCTCAACAGCTACCTAAGCGTAAGCAACGCCGCACACCGAAACACCGCAACCAGGCACCACTACCGCACACTGAAACACCGCAACCAGGCACCACTACCACACACTGAAACACCGCAACCAGGCACCACTACCACACACTGAAACACCGCAACCAGGCACCACTACCACACACTGAAACACCGCAACCAGGCACCACTACCACACACTGAAACACCGCAACCAGGCACCACTACCACACACTGAAACACCGCAACCAGGCACCACTACCACACACTGAAACACCGCAACCAGGCACCACTACCACACACTGAAACACCGCAACCAGGCACCACTACCACACACTGAAACACCGCAACCAGGCACCACTACCACACACTGAAACACCGCAAACAGGCACCACTACCACACACTGAAACACCGCAACCAGGCACCACTACCACACACTGAAACACCGCAACCAGGCACCACTACCACACACTGAAACACCGCAACCAGGCACCACTACCACACACTGAAACACCGCAACCAGGCACCACTACCACACACTGAAACACCGCAACCAGGCACCACTACCGCACACTGAAACACCGCAACCAGGCACCACTACCACACACTGAAACACCGCAACCAGGCACCACTACCACACACTGAAACACCGCAACCAGGCACCACTACCACACACTGAAACACCGCAAACAGGCACCACTACCGCACACCGAAACACCGCAACCAGGCACCACTACCGCACACCGCAGCTGCACGCTGCTACCACACACGACAGTAAACAAGAAAGTTTTTACTACACGCTTTCTTATAACTCACTCTGTCTGTTGTTGTTGTATCCTCAAATCGTGTAACTCAATTTTAACCCACTTTCACAACGTGGTATCGAATGCAAACTTGGTATACTGATGTCATACCGATGACAATACCATATTCTATCATAAAAAATATAAAACATTTATTTTAAAACATTATTTGACGCTTTCATTTAACTCACTCTGTCTGTTATTGTTGCATTCTCAAATCTTGTAACTCAATTTTAACTCACTTTCACAACGTGGTATCGACTGCAAACTTGGTATACTGATGTCATACCGATGACAATACTATATTCTATCATAAAAAAGTAAAATGTTTAAAATATCTTTTTACACGCTTTCATATAACTCACTCTGTCTGTCTTTGTCGTATCTTCAAATCTTGTAACTCTATTTTAACCCACTTCCCAATGTGGTATCCACTGCAAACTTGGTATACTGATGTCATACCGATGACAATACCATATTCTATCATAAAAAAGTAAAATGTTTAAAATATCTTTTTACACGCTTTCATATAACTCACTCTGTCTGTCTTTGTCGTATCTTCAAATCTTGTAACTCTATTTTAACCCACTTCCCAATGTGGTATCCACTGCAAACTTGGTATACTGATGTCATACCGATGACAATACCATATTCTATCATAAAAAATATAAATTTGTAAACATTTTTAAAATGTTATGTTTCGGCTTGGGTCTAATTGTCCACGCCCAACTGACGTTGGCTGTAATTGGCCACGGCCCCTGACGTTGCGGCAAGCTTCGGGGCCACTTCCAGGAGTCGTGGAGTTCTGCCATTACTACAGTACATTTAATAAAAGCGAGTTTTAAAAAAGTTTCTAAAAATATTACTTACTAGAGTAGTGAGTTTGCAATAATGGAGTCCTGTCGACACTACGCCGTCCCAAAAAAATTAACTCGTAAAAAAAAAGTTTTTAAATCCTTTATATTAAGTTCGCTTGCTTGCTTGCGTGCTTGCTTGCTTGCTTACGACCGTGTAAATCTTTCGGTCGTTTTTTAACCCACTTCCCATGATCCAATCGAGTTGACATTTTCCACACAGACTCGTTGTGCGTGACAATTAATGTTCGTGAAATTTTTTTCCAAAATTTTACACTTTATAGGACGAAAATATTATATTTAATTACCAATTGTTTAATACTGCAGACAATAATCTGACCCATAGGTGGCAGCCATCTCAAGCCAGAGGACGAGAGGACTCTAGCCGCCACGCATATAAAGGATTTAGAGTGAAAAACTTTGTTTTTACGGGTTTACTTATTCACTCTAAATCCTTTATATGCGTGTTCAATGGGCCACAACCCAGCCCACATTGGTCTTTGAAACGGGCGGCTAGAGTCCTCTCGTCCTCTGGCTTGAGATGGCTGCCACCTATGGGTCAGATGATTGCTTGCCACCATTAAGCAATTTGTAATTAAATATAATTTTTTGTTTACCTTAAAAGTGTAAAAATTTGAAACAAAAAATTTTCACGAACATTAATTGTCTCGCACAACGAGTCTGTGTGCAAAATGTCAGCTCGATTGGATCACGGGAAGTGGGTTAAAAAACGACCGAAAGATTTGCACGGTCGTAAGCAAGCAAGGGTCCCATGGGATGTTGGCTATCAACAACAAGGCAACTCCTATGACTAATTGGGAATGGGACGCAAGCGTAGGATTGATCACCCTGTCGCTGGCCGCCTTTGGGGAGGGTGTATCGTGTGAAAGGCCGAAACACCCTAGGAACCAAAGGTGCACTACTGACGATGCGCTCCCCAAATTTCACCAGGCTCACTGTTCATGAACTTTTGGAAGTGCTTGCACAAAGGATAGTAACATCTCATCCTGTGTTCTTGGAATCTAAAGGATTTAAAAAATGCCGCCCGTGCCTTGTCGACCGTTTGCGGTTTTTTCCAGCGCTGCTCCGTGAACCCCCGTGCCGAGATCGCGCGCACGGTGGAGGAGGTGGGCTCCCGCTTCCAGCGTAACTTTGTGGAGGCTACGTCCACCGGCTGTGCGGGGACCGCCAACCAGGTGAGAGGTTCCACATCGTCGTCGTCGTCATTATAACGTCGTTAGCGCGCTTGGCTACGTACGGTGCGAAAGAAGAAATTGAACAACATACATTCATGATAATTGCTTTTATGCCCTTCTATCTGTCAACAAAACTGACACCTTTTTTTACGAAGAGTCATGTTTGCATAGACCACAATACCTGCAGTCGTAATGCAAACAAAAAACACAACTCTGATAATGTATGTGCACTGTCCTTGAAGTTGATTGGTCCACACCCGAGACAGCTTTCCTTAGAGCCTAGTCTCACATGGTGTTGGACCAGATGACGCCAAAAGGCGCACAACTCAAAGACAATGCACCATCAGAGTTTGAGAGCTCGGGGTGAAGCATTTACACCATTGGAACCTCATTTTCCAGTAAAAAATATGATAATTGTTTTTTTACCCTTCTATCTGGCAACAAAACTGACACCTTTTTTTACGAGGAGTCATGTTTGCATAGAACACAATACCTGCAGTCATAATGCAAACAAAAAACATAACTCTAATGTATGTGCACTGTCCTTGAAGTTGATTGGTCTACACCCGAGACAGCTTTTCTTAGAGCCTAGTCTCACATGGTGTTGGACCAGATGACGCCAAAAGGCGCACAACTCAAAGACAATGCACCATCAGAGTATGAGAGCTCGGGGTAAGCATTTACACTATTGGAACCTCATTTGCCAGTAAAAAATATGATAATTGGTTTTTTACCCTTCTATCTGGCAACAAAACTGACACCTTTTTTACGAGGAGTCATGTTTGCATAGACCACAATACCTGTGTAACATACATACATGTGAATGTGGGTCTCTATAGTTTTATGAGTCTCTGTGGGTTTCTGTAGTTCTATATGAGTCTCTGGATCTCTATGGGTCTCATCCTTCTGATATTAGGAAGCCAATGGGAGCTAACCAATTTTAAATCATCATCTTGATCGGGGGTGGGGAACGTCCTTCCCGCGGGCCAGCTAACAACATCATCAATACCAGCTAACAACATCATCAACACCAGCTAGCAACATCATCAACACCAGCTAACAACATCATCAACACCAGCTAGCAACATCATCAATACCAGCTAACAACATCATCAATGCCAGCTAACATCATCATCAACACCAGCTAACATCATCATCAACACCAGCTAACATCATCATCAACACCAGCTAACATCATCATCAATACCAGCTAACATCATCAATTCCAGCTAACATCATCATCAACACCAGCTAACATCATCATCAACACCAGCTAACATCATCATCAACACCAGCTAACATCATCATCAACACCAGCTAACAACATCATCAACACCAGCTAACATCATCATCAACACCAGCTAACATCATCATCAACACCAGCTAACATCATCATCAACACCAGCTAACATCATCATCAATGCCAGCTAACATCATCATCAATACCAGCTAACATCATCATCAACACCAGCTAACATCATCATCAACACCAGCTAACATCATCATCAACACCAGCTAATATCATCATCAATACCAGCTAATAACATCATCAATACCAGCTAACATCATCATCAATACCAGCTAACATCATCATCAATACCAGCTAACATCATCATCAACACCAGCTAACATCATCATCAATACGAGCTAACATCATCAATACCAGCTAACATCATCATCAACACCAGCTAACATCATCATCAACACCAGCTAACATCATCATCAATACCAGCTAGCAACATCATCAATACCAGCTAACATCATCATCAACACCAGCTAACATCATTATCAACACCAGCTAACATCATCACCAACACCAGCTAACAACATCATCAATACCAGCTAACATCATCATCAATGCCAGCTAACAACATCATCAACACCAGCTAACATCATCATCAACACCAGCTAACAACATCATCAACACCAGCTAACATCATCATCAACACCAGCTAACATCATCATCAACACCAGCTAACATCATCATCAATACCAGCTAACATCATCAATACCAGCTAACAACATCATCAACACCAGCTAACAACATCATCAACACCAGCTAACAACATCATCAACACCAGCTAACAACATCATCAACACCAGCTAACATCATCATCAACACCAGCTAACATCATCATCAACACCAGCTAACATCATCATCAACACCAGCTAACATCATCATCAACACCAGCTAACATCATCATCAATACCAGCTAACATCATCATCAACACCAGGTAACATCATCATCAACACCAGGTAACATCATCATCAACACCAGCTAACATCATCATCAACACCAGCTAACATCATCATCAACACCAGCTAACATCATCATCAACACCAGCTAACATCATCATCAACACCAGCTAACATCATCATCAATACCAGCTAACATCATCATCAACACCAGCTAACATCATCATCAACACCAGCTAACATCATCATCAACACCAGCTAACAACATCATCAATACCAGCTAACATCATCATCAACACCCGCTAACATCATCATCAACACCAGCTAACAACATCATCAATACCAGCTAACATCATCATCAATACCAGCTAACATCATCATCAACACCAGCTAACATCATCATCAACACCAGCTAACATCATCATCAATACCAGCTAACATCATCATCAACACCAGCTAACATCATCATCAATACCAGCTAACATCATCATCAACACCAGCTAACATCATCATCAATACCAGCTAACAACATCATCAACACCAGCTAACAACATCAACACCCGCTAACATCATCATCAACACCAGCTAACAACATCATCAACACCAGCTAGCAACATCATCAATACCAGCTAACAACATCATCAATGCCAGCTAACATCATCATCAACACCAGCTAACATCATCATCAACACCAGCTAACATCATCATCAACACCAGCTAACATCATCATCAATACCAGCTAACATCATCAATTCCAGCTAACATCATCATCAACACCAGCTAACATTATCATCAACACCAGCTAACATCATCATCAACACCAGCTAACATCATCATCAACACCAGCTAACAACATCATCAACACCAGCTAACATCATCATCAACACCAGCTAACATCATCATCAATACCAGCTAACATCATCATCAACACCAGCTAACATCATCATCAACACCAGCTAACATCATCATCAATACCAGCTAACATCATCATCAACACCAGCTAACAACATCATCAACACCAGCTAACATCATCATCAACACCAGCTAACATCATCATCAATACCAGCTAACATCATCATCAACACCAGCTAACATCATCATCAACACCAGCTAACATCATCATCAATGCCAGCTAACATCATCATCAATACCAGCTAACATCATCATCAACACCAGCTAACATCATCATCAACACCAGCTAACATCATCATCAACACCAGCTAACATCATCATCAATACCAGCTAACATCATCATCAATACCAGCTAACATCATCATCAACACCAGCTAACATCATCATCAATACCAGCTAACATCATCATCAACACCAGCTAACATCATCATCAATACCAGCTAACATCATCATCAACACCAGCTAACAACATCATCAACACCAGCTAACATCATTATCAACACCAGCTAACATCATCACCAACACCAGCTAACAACATCATCAATACCAGCTAACATCATCAATACCAGCAAACATCATCATCAACACCAGCTAACAACATCATCAACACCAGCTAACATCATCAACACCAGCTAACATCATCATCAATACCAGCTAACATCATCAATACCAGCTAACATCATCATCAATACCAGCTAACATCATCATCAACACCAGCTAACATCATCATCAATACGAGCTAACATCATCATCAATACCAGCTAACATCATCATCAACACCAGCTAACATCATCATCAACACCAGCTAACATCATCATCAACACCAGCTAACAACATCATCAACACCAGCTAACATCATTATCAACACCAGCTAACATCATCATCAACACCAGCTAACATCATCATCAACACCAGCTAACATCATCATCAACACCAGCTAACATCATCATCAACACCAGCTAACATCATCATCAACACCAGCTAACATCATTATCAACACCAGCTAACAACATCATCAATACCAGCTAACATCATCATCAACACCAGCTAACATCATCATCAACACCAGCTAACATCATCATCAACACCAGCTAACAACATCATCAACACCAGCTAACATCATCATCAATACCAGCTAACATCATCATCAATACCAGCTAACATCATCAATACCAGCTAACAACATCATCAACACCAGCTAACAACATCATCAACACCAGCTAACATCATCATCAATACCAGCTAACATCATCAACACCAGCTAACATTATCATCAACACCAGCTAACATCATCATCAACACCAGCTAATATCATCATCAATACCAGCTAATAACATCATCAACACCAGCTAACATCATCATCAATACCAGCTAATATCATCATCAACACCAGCTAACATCATCATCAACACCAGCTAACATCATCATCAATACCAGCTAACATCATCAATACCAGCTAACAACATCATCAACACCAGCTAACAACATCATCAACACCAGCTAACATCATCATCAACACCAGCTAATAACATCATCAACACCAGCTAACATCATCATCAACACCAGCTAACATCATCATCACCACCAGCTAACATCATCATCAACACCAGCTAACAACATCATCAATACCAGCTAACATCATCATCACCACCAGCTAACATCATCATCAACACCAGCTAACATCATCAACACCAGCTAACATCATCATCAACACCAGCTAACAACATCATCAATACCAGCTAACATCATCATCAATACCAGCTAACATCATCATCAACACCCGCTAACATCATCATCAACACCAGCTAACATCATCATCAACACCAGCTAACAACATCATGAATACCAGCTAACATCATCATCAATACCAGCTAACATCATCATCAACACCAGCTAACATCATCATCACCACCAGCTAACATCATCATCAACACCAGCTAACAACATCATCAATACCAGCTAACATCATCATCACCACCAGCTAACATCATCATCAACACCAGCTAACATCATCAACACCAGCTAACATCATCATCAACACCAGCTAACATCATCATCACCACCAGCTAACATCATCATCAACACCAGCTAACAACATCATCAATACCAGCTAACATCATCATCACCACCAGCTAACATCATCATCAACACCAGCTAACATCATCAACACCAGCTAACATCATCATCAACACCAGCTAACAACATCATCAATACCAGCTAACATCATCATCAATACCAGCTAACATCATCATCAATACCAGCTAACATCATCATCAACACCCGCTAACATCATCATCAACACCCGCTAACATCATCATCAACACCAGCTAACAACATCATCAATACCAGCTAACATCATCATCAATACCAGCTAACATCATCATCAACACCAGCTAACATCATCATCAACACCAGCTAACATCATCATCAATACCAGCTAACATCATCATCAACACCAGCTAACATCATCATCAACACCAGCTAACATCATCATCAACACCAGCTAACATCATCATCAATACCAGCTAACATCATCATCAACACCAGCTAACATCATCATCAACACCAGCTAACATCATCATCAACACCAGCTAACATCATCATCAACACCAGCTAACATCATCATCAACACCAGCTAACATCATCATCAACACCAGCTAACATCATCATCAACACCAGCTAACATCATCATCAACACCAGCTAACATCATCATCAACACCGGCTAACATCATCATCAACACCGGCTAACTCATCATCAACACGGCTAACATCATCATCAACACCAGCTAACATCATCATCAACACCAGCTAACATCATCATCAACACCAGCTAACATCATCATCAACACCAGCTAACATCATCATCAACACCAGCTAATATCATCATCAATACCAGCTAACAACATCATCATCAACACCAGCTAACATCATCATCAACACCAGCTAACATCATGATCAACACCAGCTAACAACATCATCAACACCAGCTAACATCATCATCAACACCAGCTAACATCATCATCAACACCAGCTAATATCATCATCAACACCAGCTAACATCATCATTTAATACCAGCTAACATCATCATCAACACCAGCTAACATCATCATCAACACCAGCTAACAACATCATCAACACCAGCTAACATCATCATCAACACCAGCTAACATCATCATCAATACCAGCTAACAACATCATCAACACCAGCTAACATCATCATCAACACCAGCTAACATCATCATCAACACCAGCTAACATCATCATCAACACCAGCTAACATCATCATCCACACCAGCTAACATCATCATCAATACCAGCTAACATCATCATCAATACCAGCTAACATCATCATCAACACCAGCTAACAACATCATCACACCAGCTAACAACATCATCAACACCAGCTAACATCATCATCAATACCAGCTAACATCATCATCAACACCAGCTAACATCATCATCAACACCAGCTAACAACATCATCAACACCAGCTAACATCATCATCAATACCAGCTAACATCATCATCAACACCAGCTAACAACATCATCAACACCAGCTAACAACATCATCAACACCAGCTAACATCATCATCAATACCAGCTAACATCATCATCAACACCAGCTAACATCATCATCAACACCAGCTAACAACATCATCAACACCAGCTAACATCATCATCAACACCAGCTAACATCATCATCAACACCAGCTAACATCACCATCAACACCAGCTAACAACATCATCAACACCAGCTAACAACATCAATACACACTACACTATACACTACAATACACACTACACTATACACTACACACTATACTATACACTACAATACACACTATACTATACACTACAATACACTATATTACAATACACACTATATTACACGACATTCTACACACTACAAATCAATATCCAAATGAGATGGGGTCTCTTTGTTGAGCTATTATTTGTGACTGCCAGCTCGCTTGCGAAAAGTAAATTAAATAACTCGGCGGGGCCTTTGCCTGCGAGGATGGAGATGTTTCCGTGTTGTATTTCTAAATAAATATTCTGATGCTGTTAAAGGTGTACAATCTTTGTCTTTGCAGCGTTTAGGCCTTGCCGTGCGTCTCTACTACCGCGTTATGGAGGCCATCCTGAAATCGGTACGTGGCGTGCGTCCGTGTGCGTCAACAGTTTGTAATTTAAGTGCCATGCGGAGAGGGCGCGTGTGTGGCACAGTTTTGGCGCCGGCTGTCGTAGTGGCGGTGGTCGTGTCGCTACAGTTGTCTGCGGTGAGTGGCGGTACAAACAGCGACGCTGCTGCTGCTACTACTGCTGCTGCTGCTACTGCTGCTGCTACTGCTGCTGCTACTACTGATGTTGCTGCTGCTGCTACTACTACTGCTGCTGCTGCTACTACTGATGTTGCTGCTGCTGCTACTACTACTGCTGCTGCTGCTACTACTGCTGCTACTGCTGCTAGTGCTGCTACTACTGCTGCTACTGCTGCTACTACTGCTGCTGCTGCTACTGCTGCTGCTACTGCTGCTGCTGCTACTACTGCTGCTAGTGGTGCTGCTGCTACTACTGCTGTTGCTGCTAGTGTTGCTACTACTACTGCTGCTGCTACTGCTGATGCTGCTGCTACTACTGCTGCTGCTACTGCTGCTGCTGCTAGTGCTGCTACTACTGCTACTACTGCCATACCACCCACCACACCGACCACCACATCGCCCACCATCGCCGCAGCCTCACCGGACGTGCGCTTCGTAAACGGCCGGGAACGATGTTGCTTTGAACCGTTGCGTTGTCCCCCTCCGTTGCTCCCCTCAGGAGGAAGAGCGGCTGAACATTCAAGATTTCAGGTGGGAGGGAACCCACAGTCGGGATTAACGCCATCCAACCACAAATCAAACGTTGCATTTGTGCACTCGACTGTGTCGGTAGCCACTATAGGTTGCGTGGAACCTGCTTAGATTTTAATCCTGTTTCATTTAATGTTTACGCCTTGCGAGTATGTAAACATGTACGCTCTGTCTGTCCTGTAACGCTGCATGTTGTTTTTAGAAGGGCGGGGTGGGGGGGGTCAGACATTTGTGACGATGTGTGACGAGGGAGGGGGGGTTTGAGAAATTTGACGTCACATCAAAATGTGCAACTTTAAATAATAAATATAGACAACACGTTCTGCTTAATTAAATAGACGTTTTAATAAATGTTTTCTCCTACAACTTCAGAGTGCAGCGCCACATTAAATACGCACTACAATGACAATAGTTTAAAGCGATTTGAAGCGTGTTTTATTTTTTGGGGTGGGGGGGCAGAGCTTTGTGACGTCATTTGAGGGAGGGGGGGTCTGACTTTTTGTGACGCCGTGTGACGAGGGGGGGGGGGGGGGGTCAAAAATCGTCCAACATCGCGTGACGTCATTTATGGACGGCCCCTAACGCGAATTGGATACGTAACGCGTTATGAATGTATTATGGAACGCATTTTGTTACAACGCGGACGCGAATTGTATATACAGGTAGTTATTGCAAACATGATGCCTTGTATAAAGGTGTCAGTTTTTGTACCAGTTGAAAGGGTAAAAACCTATTACTATATTTTGTCACTGGTAAAGGAGGTCTCATAGTGTAAATGCTTACCCCGAGCTCTCAATACTCTGATGGTGCACTGTCTTTGAGTTGCACGCCTTTTGGCGTCATCTGGTCAAACACCAATGGAGACTGGGCTCTAAGAAAAGCTGTCTCGGGTGTGGACCAATCAACTTCAAGGACAGTGCATATCATTATCATCATCAGAGTTGTTAATTTTTGTTTGCAATTTGACTGCTTGTGTTGTGGTTATTGCAAACATGATGCCTTGTATAAAGGTGTCAGTTTTTTGTACCAATTGAAAGGGTAAAAACCTACTACTATATTTTGTCACTGGTAAAGTAGATGTCTCATTGTGTAAAACGTTTAGTTTTAGTGACGGTGTGAACTACAGTGATACCTCGGTTCACGAACTTAATTCGTGAACTGATTCTGGTCGCGAACCGAATTGGTCGTGAACCCGAAGCACATTTCCCCACAGGGTTCAATGTAAATCCGGTTAATCCGTTCTGACCTTTTTTTTTGGTTTTTGAAGCACAAAAATATGAAACACATTACAATACACATGTGTACTGTACAGTATAGTAATGTATAAAGAGAGAACACTAACCTTGCTTGAGATGACTTCAGTAAGCACTCAAACGGGTGAACTGTACAATACAGTAAGTACAGTATTGTACAGTACTGTATGTGCTAAAAAGCACACCAGAAAGCAAAAAGTCACTGAAAGTGTCTTCAGTACTCACAGTACTTCTTTCTGTGTCTCTTCTTCTCTCCACGATCTTCCTACAGGAAGTCACGACCATGTGACAGCCTGGAAATAGCATTAAAATGGCCGTGGCTCCTGTTCGTGAACCGGAGCATATTTTTAAATCCTTTATATTAAGTTCGCTTGCTTGCTTGCGTGCTTGCGTGCTTGCGTGCTTGCTTGCTTACGACCGTGCAAATCTTCGTTTTTTAACCCACTTCCCGTGATCCAATCGAGCTGACATTTTCCACACAGACTCGTTGTGCCAGACAATTAATGTTTGTGAAAAAAAATTCCCAAAATTTTACACTTTTTAGGCAAAAAAAAATGATTTTACATATATTCAAATAGAACGCATTCACGGCTTTGGCTGAACGTCACAGTGTAAGAGCCCCGAGCGTAACCCCTCCACAGGCCGTGGCGGAGTAGCGCAGTTGGTAGCGCCCTCGCTTCCCATGCCAAAGGTCGCGGGATCGATCCCCGCGTCCTCCACAGGCGAATATATTTTTAAATCCTTTATATTAAGTTCGCTGCCACGCATATGAAGGATTTATAGTGAAAAACTTTGTTTTTACGGCTTATACTTGTTATGAACTTTTCTGTTCATGAACCGAGTTGTTTGTGAACAGAAGCGTTCGTGAACCGAGGTATCACTGTACACCGCGCGTGCGTCAATCCGCTAATTTTCCTTCCTTTATGCCCCCCCACCACCCCCCCCAGCACCCTATTGGGTATCGAAACCTTCCACGTGTCTCTCCTCGCCTGCTCGCTCGAGGTGGTCATGGCGACGTACAACAGCTCCTGTAAGTCCTCGCGGCTCCACTCAAAACTAAACCGAGACATTTTTTCGAGATTTGAAGTTTTCCTGATTGCAAGCATCCATGCTTTTTGGTTTTTTCGGTAAAGTCGCGTAGGTGAGAAATTTAATAAATGAAACGGTTGTTTTTTGGCCGCGTTTGTCCCCCACGCTTGTGTTGCGCCCGAAACGTCGTGATTTAATTTAGTTGTTTTCATTTGGATTTCTTTTATTTTTTTAAATCCTTTATATTAAGTTCACTTGCTTGCGCGCTTACGACCGTGCAAATCTTTCGGTCGTTTTTTAACCCACTTCCCGTGATCCAATCGAGCTGACATTTTTCACGCAGACTCGTTGTGCGAGACAATTAATGTTCGTGAAAAAAAATCTATTTTCCACATTTTTACACTTTTTAGGAAAAAATAAATGATATTTAATTACCAATTGCTTAATGGTGGCAGGCAATCATCTGACCCATAGGTGGCAGCCATCTCAAGCTAGAGGACGAGAGGACTCTAGCCGCCACGCATATAAAGGACTTCTAGTGAAAAACTTTGTTTTTACGGGTTAATTTTTACCTACGTGACTTTACCGACAAAAGCACAAAGTATAAACTACGAAACTCAACTCTTTACCAGGTGTAAAGCCACTCCGAGTTGCTACGGATCTATTTTTCAGAAGCGGTCTGTCCGTCACAAATCATAGTTCAATAAATCACCATCATCATTGTCATCGCGTGGACATTTAGAACAGCTAAATACACCAAACGCGTGACGTCGATTCTAAATGTGGAGGGAAAAACTACACGAAACTATCAACTATTTTTATTTTACCGGGTAAGGAAGGCCCACTGAGCTTCTGCGTAGCTCTATTTCAGAGGCGACCATCTGCCCGTCACCAGTGGCAACTCATCATCATCATCATCACGTGGAAATTGATAGCAGCCAAATATAGTAGGAGGTTTTTACCCTTTCAATTGGTACAAAAACTTTTTTTGTTTGCATTTTGACTGCTTGTGTTGTGGTTATTGCAAACATGATGCCTTGTATAAAGGTGTCAGTTTTTGTACCAGTTGAAAGGGTAAAAACCTATTACTATATTTTTTTGCTTTTGTTAATTTTAATGTACATATTATTTTTTATATTTGTATTTTTTTAAATTCTATCTATGTGAGTTTACTGAAAGGTCTAGATTTGAAGCTTTCGTGACTGCAGGGATCCATACTTTTTGTTGCTTTCGGTAAAGTCACGTAGGTAGAAATAAAATAAATAAAATAAAACAAAAAAAATCACGACGTTTCGATCGGTTCCGCCTGATGACGGTTGCTTGTGTTGTGATCGAAACGTTGTTTACACTGAGACATCTCCTTTACCAGTGGCAAAATATAGTAGTAGGTTTTTACCCTTTCAACTGGTACAAAATCTCACACCTTTATACAAGGCATCATGTTTGCAATAACCTCAACACAAGAAGTCATGATGCCTTGTATAATGGTGTTAGATTTCGTACCGGTTAAAAGGGTAAAAACCTATTACTATATTTTGCCGCTGGTAAAGGAGGTCTCATAGTAGAGCAGCCAATAATAAACGCGTGGTGACGTCCATTCTGAATGTGGAGGGGAAATATACAGCAGCAGGCGTCCGGGGTTGGGATCGAACCCACGACCTCCTGCACTCGAGGCGAGGTTGTCAACATCTCCTAGCCACCGTGATGATGATGAGAGAGAGAGACGCAAACTCCAAATATACAGCAGTAGGCGTCAGGGGTTGGGATCGAACCCACGACCTCCTGCACTCGAGGCGAGGTTGTCAACATCTCCTAGCCACCGTGATGATGATGAGAGAGACACGCAAACTCCACCAAATATACAGCAGCAGGCGTTGTCAGGGTCGGGATCAAACCCACGGCCTCCTGCGTATCAGGCGAGGTAGTGAACATCTCCTAGCCACTGTGATGATGATGAGAGGGAGAAAGACACGCAAACTCCAAATATACAGCAGCAGGCATCGTCAGGGTCGGGATCGAACCCACGGCCTCCTGCGTATCAGGCGAGGTAGTGAACATCTCCTAGCTAACGTGATGATGATGAGAGGGAGAAAGACACGCAAACTCCAAATATACAGCAGCAGGCATCGTCAGGGTCGGGGTCGAACCCATGACCTCCTGTACACCAGGGTCGCAAACGGATACCCGTACCCGGCCGGGTATCGGGTAGGGTACGGGTATCGGGTACCCGGTTGCGACCTCTGCCGGCACCTCCCGCCCAGTGGCACGTGCCCGCTGCCGATGGCCTCGTGCGAGCGCGTGACCCCGTGGTGCGCGTGACCCCGTGGTGCGAGTGACCCCGTGGTGCGAGTGACCCCGTGGTGCGTGCGTGACCCCGTGGTGCGTGTGTGTGACCCCGTGGTGCTCGTGACCCCGTGGTGCTCGTGACCCCGTGGTGCGCGTGACCCCGTGGTGCGCGTGACCCCGTGGTGCGTGCGTGACCCCGTGGTGCGTGCGTGACCCCGTGGTGCGCGTGACCCCGTGGTGCGTGCGACCCCGTGGTGCGTGCGACCCCGTGGTGCGTGTGACCCCGTGGTGCGCGTGACCCCGTGGTGCGCGTGACCCCGTGGTGCGCGTGACCCCGTGGTGCGTGTGACCCCGTGGTGCGCGTGACCCCGTGGTGCGCGTGACCCCGTGGTGCGCGTGACCCCGTGGTGCGCGTGACCCCGTGGTGCGCGTGACCCCGTGGTGCGTGCGACCCCGTGGTGCGTGCGACCCCGTGGTGCGCGTGACCCCGTGGTGCGCGTGACCCCGTGGTGCGCGTGACCCCGTGGTGCGTGCGACCCCGTGGTGCGCGTGACCCCGTGGTGCGCGTGACCCCGTGGTGCGCGTGACCCCGTGGTGCGTGCGACCCCGTGGTGCGCGTGACCCCGTGGTGCGCGTGACCCCGTGGTGCGCGTGACCCCGTGGTGCGAGTGACCCCGTGGTGTGCGTGACCCCGTGGTGTGCGTGACCCCGTGGTGCGAGTGACCCCGTGGTGTGCGTGACCCCGTGGTGCGAGTGACCCCGTGGTGCGCGTGACCCCGTGGTGCGTGCGACCCCGTGGTGTGCGTGACCCCGTGGTGCGAGTGACCCCGTGGTGCGCGTGACCCCGTGGTGCGAGTGACCCCGTGGTGCGCGTGACCCCGTGGTGCGAGTGACTCCGTGGTGTGCGTGACCCCGTGGTGCGCGTGACCCCGTGGTGCGCGTGACCCCGTGGTGCGAGTGACCCCGTGGTGTGCGTGACCCCGTGGTGTGCGTGACCCCGTGGTGCGCGTGACCCCGTGGTGTGCGTGACCCCGTGGTGCGTGCGACTCCGTGGTGTGCGTGACCCCGTGGTGCGTGCGACCCCGTGGTGCGAGTGACCCCGTGGTGCGTGCTCGTTATTTTGGTGATTTCGAAAAGTTTTTCGGTTTGGCCATGTTTGTTTGTTGTAGTACAGAGTTAGACTGATGGCCTTAATCTAAGTTGTCTTGTGGTTGTTGTTGTTGTTTGTTTGTTGTAGTACAGAGTTAGACTGATGGCCTTAATCTAAGTTGTCTTGTGGTTGTTGTTGTTGTTTGTTTGTTGTAGTACAGAGTTAGACTGATGGCCTTAATCTAAGTTGTCTTGTGGTTGTTGTTGTTGTTGTTTGTTGTAGTACAGAGTTAGACTGATGGCCTTAATCTAAGTTGTCTTGTGGTTGTTGTTGTTGTTGTTGTTTGTTGTAGTACAGAGTTAGACTGATGGCCTTAATCTAAGTTGTCTTGTGGTTGTTGTTGTTGTTTGTTTGTTGTAGTACAGAGTTAGACTGATGGCCTTAATCTAAGTTGTCTTGTGGTTGTTGTTGTTGTTTGTTTGTTGTAGTACAGAGTTAGACTGATGGCCTTAATCTAAGTTGTCTTGTGGTTGTTGTTGTTTGTTGTAGTACAGAGTTAGACTGAAGGCCTTAATCTAAGTTGTCTTGTGGTTGTTGTTGTTGTTGTTGTTTGTTGTAGTACAGAGTTAGACTGATGGCCTTAATCTAAGTTGTCTTGTGGTTGTTGTTGTTTGTTGTAGTACAGAGTTAGACTGATGGCCTTAATCTAAGTTGTCTTGTGGTTGTTGTTGTTTGTTGTAGTACAGAGTTAGACTGATGGCCTTAATCTAAGTTGTCTTGTGGTTGTTGTTGTTTGTTGTAGTACAGAGTTAGACTGAAGGCCTTAATCTAAGTTGTCTTGTGGTTGTTGTTGTTGTTTGTTTGTTGTAGTACAGAGTTAGACTGATGGCCTTAATCTAAGTTGTCTTGTGGTTGTTGTTGTTTGTTGTAGTACAGAGTTAGACTGATGGCCTTAATCTAAGTTGTCTTGTGGTTGTTGTTGTTGTTGTTGTTTGTTGTAGTACAGAGTTAGACTGATGGCCTTAATCTAAGTTGTCTTGTGGTTGTTGTTGTTGTTGTTGTTGTTTGTTGTAGTACAGAGTTAGACTGATGGCCTTAATCTAAGTTGTCTTGTGGTTGTTGTTGTTGTTGTTTGTTGTAGTACAGAGTTAGACTGATGGCCTAAATCTAAGTTGTCTTGTGGTTGTTGTTGTTGTTGTTTGTTGTAGTACAGAGTTAGACTGATGGCCTTAATCTAAGTTGTCTTGTGGTTGTTGTTGTTGTTGTTTGTTGTAGTACAGAGTTAGACTGATGGCCTAAATCTAAGTTGTCTTGTGGTTGTTGTTGTTGTTTGTTTGTTGTAGTACAGAGTTAGACTGATGGCCTTAATCTAAGTTGTCTTGTGGTTGTTGTTGTTGTTTGTTGTAGTACAGAGTTAGACTGATGGCCTAAATCTAAGTTGTCTTGTGGTTGTTGTTGTTGTTGTTTGACTTGCATCCCACTGGGATTTTTGCACACAGCGTTGGTGTACGGCGCTTTTTCTGCAATATTTTGCTGTCTTTTTTTGGATTTTCTGTTTGCACTCGGTCACATATTCACTTTAAGATGTTTTCTTGTTTATGTTTTTGTTGTTTTGTTTGTTGCGGTTGCACCCGATTCAAGAGCCGAATGGCTCACAGGGCTACACCTAATCAATGAACTTGAACTTGAATATGAATTAAAAGTGTGCCGTACTTGGCCCTTCCCCCCCCCTCTCCAACCATTATATATACGGAGTGGTAGCTCTTGCAATCTCTCATTTACTTGATACACCTGTCGTGGCTGTGACGGTTCCAGCTGTATCAAGTACTTGATATCAAGTATTTGATATCAAGTACTTGATACAGCTGATACAGCTGTCGTGGCTGTGACGGTTCCACCTGAAGACTTGTGTTGCCTCCGAAACGTCGTGATTTTTATTTTATTTTACTTTTATTATTTAAAATTTTTTTACCTACGTGACTTTACCGAAAAAACCTAAGAATACGGAAGCTTGTGTTGCCTTCGAAACGTCGTGATTTTTATTTTATTTTACTTTGATTAATTTAATTTTTTTTATCTACGTGACTTTACCGAAAAAACCTAAGAATACGGAAGCTTGTGTTGCCTCCGAAACGTCGTGATTTTTATTTTATTTTACTTTTATTAATTAAAATTTTTTTATCTACGTGACTTTACCGAAAAAACCTTAGAATATGAATCCTTGAACTTGCAGGGAGTGGCTCTTGCGGGACGATGATCGGATCCCCGGAGGAGGCTGGTGGTGTCTCCTTCCCCTGGGTGCTGGGAGTCCTCTCGCTCTCGCCCTACAACTTCTACAAGGTAAAGTGGGCGGGGGGGGGGTGGTGGGGGGACTTGTATATGCGTACGTATGTCGTATAGGTGTACGTACGTTGCGTATGTGTGTGTATGGTGCATATGCATGCGTATGATGCATAGGTGTACGTGTTTTGCATAAGCGTACGTATGGTGCATACGCGTACGTAAGGTGCATATGTTTTCGTATGCCGCGTATGCGTGCGTATGTTGCGTGTGTTGCGTGTGTGTGTATGCGTGCGCATGTTGTGTATGTTGCGCGTGTGTGTGTGTATGTTGCGTATGTGTGTGTGTATGTTGTGTATGTATGTGTGTGTGTATGTATGTGTATGTGTGTGTGTGTATGTTGTGTATGTTGTGTGTGTGTGTATGTGTGTATGTTGTGGAGAGAGTGGAGAGTTTCCCATACCTGGGCAGTGTGCTTATGACCGGCTCCAGTTTATCAGCAGAGGTCTCACTCCGAATCAGTCGAGCGGCAATATCTTTTCATCGGTTGCGTAACGCTGTGTGGAAGCTACCTGGTCTGTCGCTCCGCACGAAGCTTCAGGTCTTCTCGGCCACGGTCATTCCCTCCCTTCTCTACGCTTGCGAAACGTGGACCCCCCTAGTGGAGCATCTTCGCCGGTTGGAAACATTTAGGCTGGCCTGCCTACGATCCATCCTGGGTTTAACCAGGCTGGATTGTGTGAGGAGCTCACAAGTCCTTGAAAGATCTGGGCAAAGTCCCATCAGTGAGCTCCTCCGGCAGGCAAGGCTGTGTTGGCTGGGTCATGTAGCCCGCATGCCCAGCCACCGCATGCCTAAACAGCTTTTGTTCGGCCGGATTGAGGGGGCTAAGCGGGCGCGGCACGGGCTAGAGAAGAGATGGAGTGACGTGGTACAGGAGGACGTGGAGCTGAGTGGACTTGCCGATGACTGGTACCAGCGGTGTCAAGATCGGCCTCAGTGGAGGAGGCTCGTGAAGGACGCTACTGGGCAGTTGGAGGCAGTCGCCCTCCAACAACAACGGAGGGCGGAGGAGCGACGCTCACAACAACGAGCGGAGCGCCGGGTGGCTAAAGCACAGCAAGTTGGTACAGTAGGGGGCACAGGTGGCGCATCAGCCAGTCATCTCGGTCATCTCGGTCAGTCGACCCGTGGCACCTGGGTCTGCCCCGTGACCTCCTGCCAGCGGGCGTTCGACACTTCACGTGGCCTCAAGGTGCACATGGCCTGGCACAAGCGTCGTGGTGACGTCACTGCCACTTAGTGGCGAATGGCGGTTGTTGTTGTTGTATGTTGTGTATGTGTGTGTATGTGTGTGTGTGCGTATGTTGCGTGTGTATGTGTGTGTGTGCGCGTATGTGTGTATGTGTGTGTGTGTGCGTATGTTGCTTGTGTGTGTATGTGTGTGTGCGTATGTTGCGTATGTGTGTGTGTATGTGTGTGTATGTTGTGTATGTTGCGTCTACGCCCCCTGGGTGCTGGAGTCCCCTTCTTCAAGGTGGCGGCGACGCGCCCCACCGCAGCGGGGGAGGGTGGGGGGAGGTGTGTGTGTGTGTGTGTACGTTGAACTTTTTTCGCACCGTACTCACCCACCCATCCACCCACTCACCCATCCACCCACCCACTCACCCATCCACCCACCCACTCACCCACCCATCCACCCACTCACCCACTCACCCACTCACCCACTCACCCACCCATCCACCCACTCACCCACTCACCCACCCACTCACCCACCCATCCACCCATCCACCCACTCACCCACCCATCCACCCACTCACCCACTCACCCACTCACCCACCCATCCACCCACTCACCCACCCACTCACCCACCCATCCACCCACTCACCCACTCACCCACCCACTCACCCACCCATCCACCCATCCACCCACTCACCCACCCATCCCCCACTCACCCACTCACCCACTCACCCACCCATCCACCCACTCACCCACCACCCACCCACTCACCCACCCATCCACCCATCCACCCACTCACCCACCCATCCACCCACTCACCCACTCACCCACTCACCCACCATCCCCCACTCACCCACTCACCCACCCACTCCACCCACTCACCACTCACCCACCCCCCCATCCACCCACTCACCCACTCACCCACCCACTCACCACCCAGCCACCCATCACCCACTCACCCACCCATCCACCCACTCACCCACTCCACCCACCCACTCACCCACCCATCCACCCACTCACACCCTCACACCACCCACTCACCCCACCCATCACCCACTCACCCCCTCACCCACCCACCTCCACCCACTCACCCACCCATCCCCCACCCACTCACCCACCCATCCACCCACTCACCCACTCACTCACCCACCCACTCACCCACCCATCCACACCATCCCCCACTCACCCACCCATCCACCACTCACCCCTCACCCACCCACTCACCCACCCACCACCCATCCACCCACCATCACCCACCCATCCACCCACTCACCCACTCACCCACCCACTCACCCACCCATCCACCCATCCACCCACTCACCCACCCATCACCCACTCACCCACCCACTCACCCACCCATCCACCCATCCACCCACTCACCCACCCATCCACCCACTCACCCACTCACCCACCCACTCACCCACCCATCCACCCACTCACCCACTCACCCACCCACTCACCCACCCATACACCCACTCACCCACCCATCCACCCACTCACCCACTCACCCACCCACTCACCCACCATCCACCCATCCACCCACTCACCCATCCACCCACTCACCCACCCATCCACCCACTCACCCACCTATCCACTCACCCACCCATCCACCCACCCACTCACTAATCCACTCACCCACCCCATCCACCCACTCACCCACCCATCCACCCACTCACCCACCCATCCACTCACCCACTCACCCACCCATCCACCCATCCACCCACTCACCCACCATCCACCCACCCACCGACCCACTCACCCACCCATCCACCCACTCATCCACCCACTCACCCACCCATCCACCCACTCACTCACCCACCTATCCACCCACTCACCCACCCATCCACCCACTCACCCACCTATCCACCCACTCACCCACCCATCCACTCACCCACCCATCCATCCACTCACCCACCTATCCACCCACTCACCCACCCATCCACCCACCCATCCACCCACTCACCCACCCATCCACCCACTCACCCACCCATCCACCCACTCACCCACCCACCCATCCACCCACTCACCCACCCATCCACCCACTCACCCACCCACCCATCCACCCACTCACCCACCCACCCATCCACCCACTCACCCACCCATCCACTCACTCACCCACCCATCCACCCACTCACCAACCCATCCACCCATCACCCACCCATCCCCCACTCACCCACCCACTCCACCCACTCACCACCCACTCACCCACCCATCCACCCAGCCACCCACTCACCCACCCATCCATCCACTCCACCCACCCATCCACCCACTATCCACCATCCACCCACTCACCCATCCACCCACTCACCCACCCATCCACCCACTCACCCACCTATCCACTCACCCACCCATCCACCCACCCACTCACTAATCCACTCACCCACCCATCCACCCACTCACCCACCCATCCACCCACTCACCCACCCATCCACTCACCCACTCACCCACCCATCCACCCATCCACCCACTCACCCACCCATCCACCCACCCACCGACCCACTCACCCACCCATCCACCCACTCATCCACCCACTCACCCACCCATCCACCCACTCACTCACCCACCTATCCACCCACTCACCCACCCATCCACCCACTCACCCACCTATCCACCCACTCACCCACCCATCCACTCACCCACCCATCCATCCACTCACCCACCTATCCACCCACTCACCCACCCATCCACCCACCCATCCACCTACTCACCCACCCATCCACCCACTCACCCACTCATCCACCCACTCACCCACCCACCCACCCATCCACCCACTCACCCACCCATCCACACACTCACCCACCCATCCACCCACTCACCAACCCATCCACCCACTCACCCACCCATCCACCCACTCACCCACCCATCCACCCACTCACCCACCCATCCACCCACTCACCCACCTATCCACCCACTCACCCACCCATCCATCCACTCACCCACCAACCCACCCACTCACCCACCCATCCACCCACTCATCCACCCACTCACCCACCCATCCACCCACCCATCCACCCACTCACCCACCCACTCACCCACCCACTCACCCACCCACTCACCCACCCATCCACCCACCCATCCACCAACTCATCCACCCACCCACTCACCCACCCACTCACCCACCCACTCACCCACCCACTCACCCACCCACTCACTCATCCACCCACTCACCCATCCACCCACTCACCCACCCACCCACTCACCCACCCACTCACCCACCCATCCACCCACTCATCCACCCACTCATCCACCCACTCACCCACCCACCCATTCACCCACCCATCCACCCACTCACCAACTCATCCACCCACTCACCCACCCATCCACCCATCCATCCACCCACTCACCCACCCACTCACCCACCCACCCATTCACCCACCCATCCACCCACTCACCAACTCATCCACCCACTCACCCACCCATCCACCCACTCACCCACCCATCCATCCACCCACTCACTCACCCACCCATTCACCCACTCACCCACCCATCCATCCACCCACTCACCCACCCATCCACCCACTCACCCACCCACTCACTAATCCACTCACCCACCCACTCACTCACTAATCCACTCACCCACCCATCCACCCATCCACCCACCCACCCATCCACCCACCCACCCACTCACCCACTCACTCACCCACTCACTCACCCACTCATCCACCCACTCACCCACCCACTCACCCACTCACCCACCCACTCACCCACCCACTCACCCACCCACCCATCCACCCACTCACCCATCCACCCACTCACTCACCCACTCATCCACCCACTCACCCACCCACTCACCCACCCACCCATTCACCCACCCATCCACCCACTCACCAACTCATCCACCCACTCACCCACCCATCCACCCACTCACCCACCCATCCATCCACCCACTCACTCACTCACCCACCCATTCACCCACTCACCCACCCATCCATCCACCCACTCACCCACCCATCCACCCACTCACCCACCCACTCACTAATCCACTCACCCACCCACTCACTAATCCACTCACCCACCCATCCACCCATCCACCCACCCACCCATCCACCCACCCACCCACTCACTCACCCACTCACTCACCCACTCATCCACCCACTCACCCACCCACTCACCCACTCACCCACCCACCCATTCACCCACCCATCCACCCACTCACCAACCCATCCACCCACTCACCCACCCATCCACCCACTCACCCACCCACTCACCCACTCACCCACCCACCCATTCACCCACCCATCCACCCACTCACCAACCCATCCACCCACTCACCCACCCATCCACCCACTCACCCACCCATCCACCCACTCACCCACCCATCCACCCACTCACCCACCCACTCACCCACCCATCCATCCACCCACCCACCCACCCACTCACCCACTCACCCACCCACTCACTCACCCACTCACCCACCCACCCACCCACTCACTCACCCACCCACCCACCCACTCACTCACCCACCCACCCACCCACTCACCCACCCACTCACTAATCCACTCACCCACCTGCCCCGCCCCCCGTACCACCAGGTGCTGGAAAGTTTCATCCGTGCGGAGCCGTCACTCACCCGCGATGTCATCAAGCACCTGAGGTGCTGCGAGGAGGCCGTGCTGGATTCGCTCGCCTGGCAGCCAGTGAGTACCGCCAAGACGCGCGTCGGTGTGACGCACGGAGGTCCGCTGGTATGACGCACGGAGGTCCGTCGCGATGATGATGGGTTGAATATTCGTTGGTGTGACGCTCGGTGACGAATCGGTAAGATCCGTGGTACAATGCTCTGAGATCTGCTGGTACGACGCTGGGATATCCACCGGTATGATGGCTGAATATTCGTTGGTGTGACGCTCGGTGACGAATCGGCAAGAGCCGTGGTACAATGCTCGCAGATCTGTTGGTATGACGTTCAGAGATCTGCTGATACGACGCTTGGATATCCACTGGTATGATGCTCTGGGATCCGTTGGTGTGATGCTCAGAGGTATGTTGGTATGATGCTCGGATAGTCGCTGGTGTGATGATCGGAGATTCGGTTGGTGTGATATTCAGATATCTGCTGGTATGCTGCTCAGAGGTCTGTTGGTACGATGCCCGGATAGCCGTTGGTATGACGCTCTGGAGATCCGTTAGCGCGACTTTCGGAGCTCCGTTGGTATGACGCTCTGGTACGTTGGTATGACGCTCTGGAGCTCCGTTGGTATGACGCTCGGAGATCAGCCGGCAAGAATCGCGGCGATCAGCCGGTATGACGCCCGGCTGATCCGTCGCCGCGGCAATGCCGATTCTTGTTTGAGAGCAACGTCGCGAGACCGAGACCGTCCGCGGTATTTACCGGAGCCGCTGCGGCAGAGGTCGCAATCGGGTTTTGATTCCTTACCCCCCCGTACCCAGCCGCACCAGGGTCGCAAACGGGTACCCGTACCCGGCCGTACCCTACCCTACCCTACCCGTACCCGTACCCTACCCGTACCCTACCCGTACCCTACCCATACCCGGCCGGGTACAGGTAGGGTACGGGTATCGGGTACCCGATTGCGACCTTTGCGATGAAGCATGTTGCAGGCGCTGGTGGGTTGATTCTAGGAAACTTGAATTGTGAGAAGAGACAAGACGTTTGGAAATGAGTGACAAACGGTGACTCACCAGTGACTCACGGCCTACCCGTACCCGTACCCGGCCGCACCAGGGTCGCAAACGGCTACCCGTACCCGGCCGGGTAGGGTACGGGTATCGGGTACCCGGTTCCGACCTCTGCCGCTGCGGGGGGCGGGGG